AAATGTCCAAATCTCTTGTTTGAGGACATGATACAGCATATATTATTTGTTGATAAATAAATAATGCAAAAATATATACAAACGAATATGACTAGCATGCATTTGTATGAGATTATGAGTTTAGAAAAATAAATTAGAATGCTGGCTTTTACCAACAATGTTTTTGTTACCAATATGATGAGAAGTGCTCTGTGCCCTGTCTTGTCCTTCATTTTCATGTGGATTTTACTACAAACAATCTAACAAGTTCCTGTTCCGTAAACAGCTTTGCACTTTCTCACATGCATTATTTCAAAGGCCCTATAGGTGTACTACTAAGGCACATTGGGCGCCATGCTTTACCTAAGATGATTAGTGGAAGTCAAAGCCATCCCTGGGAGCATTCTTAATGGCCTTATAAAGCACACCTTTGCTGGGCTGACTCAGCAAAACCCTGACACCAGATTGAACGATGGCTCGGAGCAATTGAGAGTCATCTGATATCATAAAAAAACTATACAAACTAAACATTAGGGCGCAAATTATGATAAAGTTTCAGACATTTTTAGTCAAACCCTTGCAGGATGCAGATTGTTTTCATTGTCTGTAAAAATAAAAAACAAATAATGATGTTTATAATAATAACATGCTCTGTATAATGCTGTGTCATCATAGGTTGAAATAAAAGTTTAATTACATACTTACAAGTCCCAATAACAGATACAATCATAAAATATTGAGAGACAGCACTTCAAAAAAAATATTTTACTTTTAAATCTCAACAGGTTCAAAGTGGTGGAATTGAATGACAATTTGATGATGTTAGAGTCCGAAGTTGCTGAGTCAGAAACTCCAGTAGTGCATTTAAGGCCCCTGATGGGTTGATGCTATTAGACTACATCGCTCTCAAAACCTTGCATAATATTGATCCATTGAATAGTGTAAGTGCTTCCACACACCAGTAAAGACCAGTCCTGCTCCAACTCAAGAGGCTTTGAACTCTGAGGAGTCTGTAAGTCCCCATGTTTCAGCACGGGCTGCACTGTCATTAGGTAATGCCGGTTTAAAGTCAGGGATAAGGAGGTTGTGTTGCATAGTGGAGAGGACCAACACATTACACCTGTTACCTAACTAACCTCCCTCTGAGCCCCAAGGATCACCATGGACCATGACCAAAGTTTCAGAGGTGATCTAAGCTCCCCGGGAGCAAAAACATGGAGCAAGAAAGAGATTGTTTTGATCTCGGATCCCCAGTGTCTTCGCTTTTTAATTCTATAGGCTTTTCCGCAACATAGCACTCATGATGAGAAAGAGATGTAAAATTACACACATAATCATACAAAATCATGTGCTAGTGGTAGGAACATTTTGGATAAATTACTACTCAGACTGAAAGATTTAATGTTTTTGTCAACTAACAATGGCATATCTCAAATCATAATTAATTTTTTGCAGCTTTGTTTCTCATTGAGAAAGCAATTAAACAGTGTTATTATACGGCTCCTCAGAGCAGCAGTAGAATGCTCCATTGATTTGAATGTAATTTCAAAACGTTCTACCGGTCATTATTTTCTATAACGGACCTCTCAAAACAATAATGACCGCTGCCCTTTGGCAACGCACTCTCTGCTTGTCTTTCAAATGCGTGGATAACTCCGCAAGTAGTTCCGGCACTCCTGAGCTAGCCACGCTCAATCAACACACTTAAATGTTAATCGGAGAATACTTATACATATACATTCTTCACACACGTGCACGGAAATTTTCAGAATTTTCTGGTCTTGTCTTCATGACAAAAATACTATTTCTCTGCGTCAAAAAGCGATCGTGAAAATCCCGGAAGTAGTTCCGGCCGCTCAATAAACGCAAATGCCAATCAATCAACGCAATGAAATGTTTATCGGAGAGTGAATTATACATATCCAGTCTTAATACAAGTGCACAGAAGTTTTCAGAATTTTCAGTTTACGTTTTCATAACAAAAACACTGATGTAATGCGAGAAAAGGCGATCCCGAAAAACCCGGAAGTAGATACCGGCACATTTTAAGATACCGGCACATTTTCGGACACATTTGCAGAGGATCGATTTAGGTTAGGTTTATGTATGGGTCACTCACCGCTGTTTTCATGCAGTTCCAGAGAGTTCTAGTTTGGAAGTTGCCAGCCTAACTGTTGCTAACATAGCCACACTGCCTGCCCGCGGTTGCCGAGCAACGGGAAAACTTTTTGGGACTACTTTATTTGTTGTCATTAAATAAACTTTTGGCATTCATAAAAGTGATCTGAAGTTTATTTTGTGTGTTAAGTTGGTACAAAGCAGGATAATGTAGCGGGAACCTTCAGGGCGGAAGCCCTGTCGGTACTTATTTTCCGATAATGACCTGTATGCTATACATTATCCCTTACTTATGGCATGAAACATGAAAATTACAAGACCCCATTCCTTGCTATTGTACAAAACAGGACTACAGCAGGGGTGTCGTATGGAAAAAAAAGTTTGGGTACCCCTGGTCTACAGAAAAAACGAAAAAACAAGACAAAAGTCCATTGTATCACATTCCTTTAAAAAAAAATAAAAAAATAAAAATGTGACTAACACTGGTGCATTTTGCTCCAACCACATTGCACTCAAACTGAAATAATAGATTTTTTTTTTTTTTTAAATCTTATACAGGCTTGAATAGTGTTCCTAATAGTTGTGAATTATGTTTAAATGAGGACAATTGTTTCCTGGTTTGTTGGTTGAAATATTGGCATGCTTAAGGCGTTTGCAGACATATGCATAAATGTGCAGTCCCAGAGTGGAGGAGAGTGAGCAGGTGACCCTCTCCCGTCTGAGAACAGCCAGTGCGTCATGAGCAGCAGACTAAAGGATTAGCAGCAGGTGAATTTATTCTCAACTAGGACATGCTGCAGGTTGTTGTCCGGCTTTTGCCAAGACTAAACACAGAAACACACAGCTTTTGTTTGACAGAGGGAACCAGGTTATCCCTGTCTGTTCACAACAAACTTAAAGGCTTTTCATGATCACAACATTAAGGACAAATACAAAACAAGTAACTTTAGTTTATTTTTATAGATTCAGTAACAAAAGCATGTTCATCCAATAATTCCTCAAAATGAGACCATAACAGCCAAATGAAAATTATGTTTAAAGAGGGGAATAAAGTTTGAGGCAACTTAATTCAGATACATTTGTACATTTCCATGTTAACCATGACATGTTTATATGAACAGAGGAATAGCTAGTATTTTTCAGTAGCTAATGGGTAGCCATGCAATCATTGATTATATCTACTGCTATTTTACAGAAATGTCTTAATATTCAAGAAAATCTTACTACTTGGATTACAACCTGGATTATTATCTCTGTGAATGTATTTCTGTTGAGTGGAACTTTTTAAATATTGTTTCATGAGTAATAATTCATGAAGCGAAGCACTAGGTTTATGTGGTTTAAGCAGCGTTGGGAGTAAAGCGTTACTAAAGTCATGTCATTACTGTATTGCTGTAACGCGATAATGTAATGTAATGTAATGTGTTCATTATGAAAAGTGGGTAATAATTTACTCGGTACAAACGTCAGTAACGTACATTGCGTTGCATTTTAACTCAAACATTTAATGTGTTTTGTTTTTATACTGTGCCACCACGAGATCTGCAGAGGAGAAAAAAATCTGCACCAATCGTAGCTGCCTAGAAGTTTTTTTTCCTTCCTGGTAGAAGACGGCTGAAGCTGAAGCAGAAGCAGGAGCCACATTAGACTAGTACATTTTTTTAAGATGGACAGACTCTGGGAACACAGTGGGGCGGCTGCAGCTGTAACGTGCAAAACTGCCCTTGTGTCCTTGGGCAAGACACTTTACCCACATTGCCTGGACTGTGTCTAGTGTGTGTATATGGTTGATGGTAGTCGGAGAGGCCAATGGCACATACTGGCTGCCTCACTTCTGTCAGTGTGCCCCAAGGCAGCTGTGGCTACAGGGATAGTTTATCACCACCGTGAAAGAAAAATGACATGTGAAGCAGTGTTCTGAAAAGCGCTATAACCAATGCACCATTTTTTTTTTTTTTTTTTTTATTGATTTTTTGACAAATAGATGTGAAAGAGGAAATGCCCGCCCCTCATAATCTATTTTGCAGACGTGTGCATATTGTCTGCATGTCTTGTGTTGTAAGTGATGATGCAATGCCATATTTCTAAAAATATAAAACCACTAGTCATTCCTTTATAGAATTACATTATTTGCTTTTGTAAAAATTGAGATTCTATTTTCCTCAATAAGAGACAATGATTGTTTCAGCAAAACTTCCAGCATGAAACAATCTTTTTACTGTTGTGTTTATACAGGTGTGAAATAAACCAAATAAAACTTGTGAAAGTAGAGAGCATGCTGTATAATTAGAAGCATGGCTAGCCAATGCACTGCACTTCACTGCACAGTGAAGTGTCTTGACGACAGCTGCAGTAGAATGGCTTTGGGTGTCATGCAAGGTGCACAAACATGTGCATGTTTCATTTTATACATATGGTAAACCTGTCAACAAAATAAGTAGTCAATTAAAGTACAGATGCAGAAAATGAAATAGTACTGTGGTGACTGGTGATCAGTCACTGCCTTGCTCTTTGGCCCATTTTTCACCCTCGTGGCTCCCTCTTGTGGATACGAGTGGAACTAGTGGAATGGCATAAATAGATAGATCCTCCATGCATAGATCCAAGTGAGTTCTTCCGGTTTACTTCTGGTGACCTATGGTCCTGTCATACTTCCAAGTTTCGTGAGTAAATAATACACTTGAACTTGAAGGAATGTGATCACGTGACTGGTGTGTTGCACCGATCCATGGTTGCACCTCCCCAAAATGTGCACTGCAACATGTTGGTGCCAAAGGTCGTTACGTCTGGCACAAAAATGTTGCAGCGCACATTCCCAGGACTCCTGCGTAGGTTTCAAAAGTATTCCTTGAATGCGCATTGCAAATTTAGATTTCTCGATGCATTTTGAAAGGACTAACAAAATGCACCACCAGGTAAGGATTTGTTTCCATCATATGCAATGCCTAAAATGTTATACCGTTATGGCATTCAAATTGAATATTTACATTCAATCAATTGGAAGTGTTGTGTTCCATGTGATAAAAACAAACTAACTTATTTGTTTAGATTTGGCGTTTGGTCACTCGCTGCTGCTTGACAAACCATTCTTGGTCTGATATATCTGGGATGGACCCCTGGAAGAGCACAATGTAGTCCAGGGGTCTCCAACCTTTTTTAAATAGGAGAGCTACTTTTAACAGGATAGGCAGAGAGCTACTCCTAATAAAATAATAATAATAATACAAATCTATGTAATAATGACGAGAAGAGTGAAGACACATGAAATATACTATATTACTGTATAACCCTATGTTCAAAATGTGTTAAATTCTAAATCCTTTGGGGAGCTACCTTGGAAGGGGCGGTGAGCTACTGGTTGGAGACTACTGGTGTAGTCTTTGCTTTACTAACAAAAATAAAAACATGCACTGTGGTAATAAGTGACATGACATAGAAACGCAGTTTAAACATATATTCACTCAGAAAGCTGCTGTATCCTCTACAGCAGTGTCTCCCAAAGTGGGGTCCGCGGCCCCCTGGTACTGCGGGGGGCCGCGGGAGGTCATAAAAAAAAAAAAAAAAAAAAATATAATTATTTAATGTTAAATTTATAATGTTTTGTTTGTAATATTAAAATATTTGTGTTCATTATTTGACTTGAATAAGCCACTGTAATCATTTTTGTATTACAATGTTTGTAGCAGAGGCTATTTCCCCAAAATAAAATAACCAGAAGAGCCTATTCTTAATGTTGTCTTCTTGGTTATTATTTTGGGGGGCCACGCAGACCCGTCAGATTTTTAAGGGGGCCTCGGTGTTACTGAGTTTGGGAATGGCTGCTCTACAGCAATGAAGTATCAAATTATCCATACATTTTCTTCCCCTTAACCCATTTCTGGGTCACCACCTGATCCTCCTGCAGGTGGTGAGTCCCCAGCAGTGAAATTAAATCAGCAGATATTTTGTGTGTGCATTGCAGGCCATGGCTCAGGACAAACCATACGCTCTCATCTCTGAAGTGAGCGAAGAGGGTTACATCCAAGAAGCTGTTGACGTCATAAAACCACATTTCCAGATTATCACTCACCAAGAATTTCTCCAAGACCCGGATTGTCTCAGCTCCAGGATACAGGCGCTGTTTCTGTGGGACAATAAACCTGCCCTTGAGCCGTCGCTGCTGCGCTCACTACCTGCCTTAAAGGTGATCGCCAATGGAGGAGTGGGCATTGACCATTTGGACGTTCCTCACCTTAACAGTTTGGGCGTGAGGGTCAGTAATACTCCGCATGTGGTCAGTAACGCCACGGCCGATATGGCGATGGGGCTGCTGCTGGCGTCCGCACGCAGGATCCTAGAAGGTAACTATGGAAGGCACTAGAAACAGGGCATTGTGGGTTTTGAGAGACTGAAACATACACAAGCAGATGGATATTGTAGATAGATAGTATGTTGTGGTATGTTTTGGTTATTTTACAATGTTTTTAGCTGTAATCTATTATTTTGATAATCGTTTTCAGTAGTTGGCCAATTATTCTTTTGATTTATTCGATTATTGATTCATTTATTGTTATTTTTATCGTGGAACACTATGCAAGCTACTGTGACAACACAATTTCCCATGTGGAACGATAAAGTCTGTCTAAGTCTAAGTTGATTAGTTGCTATTAATCAGTTAGGCTTAAGTTAAAACCACAAACTAAAAAAAGAGACCAGGACATAGCAGAAGATGCTAATTTACACCTGTAGTCCCAGAACAGTTGAATGCTGAGATTACAGATTATTGTCTAGATAATCCAGGGCTGTAAATGTTTATCACAGTAGTAGGATCACACAGGGAGCACACAAAAAGTAAAAAAAAAGTAGCTGCTATGTTTCTTAGCTAGCTGTAAATGCTTCAATATCAATCTCTCAAAATATCTAATGTAAAAAGTGCAAAGTTATATACATATAGAGCAGGCAGTAAGTAGATAAAGTGACATTCAGTGGACATTCTGAAGTTGCAGTATTTAGTTATTTACAGATGATTGACATGCCCAGACTCAGCGGTTCTCATTGTATAGTATTTTTTACAAAATCTGTTGCCACTAACCTACAGAGCAATTGTTTTAAAGGTCATCTCGCTTCTGTGGACCCAAACACGGTGCGATTACCGCGCAATCTTATGGGCGTGGAGGTGACAGGATCCACACTCGGCATCATTGGGATGGGACACATAGGACTAAAAATCGCTCAAAGAGGAAGAGGATTTGATATGAAGATTTTGTACTATAACAGAAATAGAAGGTAAGACTTTTGTTTTAAACTTATATAATCTACATATCATTAAGATAATATAAACTAGCTCCTTGTAGCTTTCAGAACAGTTTGGTGCTATAATTTGATTTCATATATTAAAGGTAAAGGTGCACTTTATGAATCCCCGTAGGGCAATTCATCCTCTGCATTTGACCCATCATGATGCCGCTAAGGCTTACGTCAGGAGCAGTGGTCGCCATAGTAACAGCACCCGGGAACCCATCTCCAGATGTTGATGCTCGGCTTGGTCAGGACTACAGGAGCTGGAGGATTTTACCTAGTGTGCATGTTTTTAGTGGTACCCGGAGGAAACCTATGCAAGCACGGGGAGGACATGCAAACTCCACTCAGAAAGACCCCGTTCTGACCGGGATTTGAACCTAGGACCTTCTTGCTGAGTGGCGAGAGTGCTATCCACTCAGCCACCGTGCTGCCCATATATTTTGCGACATATAAACTGCTTTTGAATAAGATGGAGGCATGTGGTGTAGCACGGTGGCTGAGTGGTTAGCACTCTCGCTTCTCAGCAAGAAGGTCCTGGTTTTGAATTCCGGTTGGAACAGGCCCTTTCTGAGTAGAGTTTGCATGTTATCCTGCGTGTGTGCCTAGGATTCCTCCGGGTGCTCCGGTTTCCCCTACCACTAAAAACATGCGCAATAGATCTGAATGTAATGAGTGAGTGAATGGATGATGTTGGTCACTGTGTGTGGAGAGAATGAAACAATATCTGAACTCTGAACTTTGTAAAGCGCTTTGGGTGACCTTGGTCTGTAAAAATGTGCTATATAAATAAAGTTTACTTACTACTACTTACTTACATCAAGCTTAAATATGGACGTCTCTAATGTGGCCGTGTCTAAACTCAGTCTGTTCTTGTGTTTTCCTCTCAGGTCATGTGAAGACGAACAAACGGTCGGAGCATTGTTCTGTGAAAACATGGAGGAGCTGCTGAAACAGTCCGACTTTGTTGTGTTGGCGGTGAACCTGACCCCAGAGACCACAGGACTCATCGGACTCAAAGAGCTCTCCTTCATGAAGCCCACGGCCACTCTGGTCAACGTCAGCAGAGGTCTGGAAACAAGAAACTATTGTGTGGGGATTTTACTCTATAGAAATACAATGTTATTGTCGTGCAGCAAAATGAAATTAACCCAAACGCAGGTCTGGAAAAATAGGTGATTTGATAAAAGCAAATACAAAATAGAAATCCAGAGTAAAAATGGATAAAGTAAATCAACAGGGGACGAAGACCATAACAATGTTTAAAAAAACAGTGGACAAAGAAGGCGCAGGTGAAATGTTTGAAAGCAGGGAATCAAGCAACAGGAAGTAGAACTACAGAAGAGACATTAACAATTACAAAACAAATCCGAAACCTAAACATTAGGTTTATTAGTCATGAAACCTAACTTTCATGGCTAATATTTCATTAGCTTTGAAAGTTATGGCTAATGAAATATGTCTTCTGTCATTCATTTTGTGAAGATTTCTGGTAAAGTTTTGTTAGTATTAGATAGCAATATGGCCTACGTGCAGGACTGTTCAAGGACTCTGATTATTTTGACTATGATGTGACTGTCTCTGTGTGACGCGTACGTCTTTCGATGTGTGGCGTGACAATGACTATATAAACTGTGTACTGACTCCATTTTGTCTGAGAGAAGGAAACAATGGAAACCACTGGAACTTGAGAGAAACTTAAATAAACTTCCAGAGTTTGGCGCACCACGATCCGTCTCTGTCTGCTTCATCCCTGACAGTTTCAATATGATCCTTTATCAAAATGATTGTGACAGGCTGAGGCAGAACATATGAAGGCAGGTAATGAAGAGATGTAGATAACGAATGGAAAGGACCTGGTTAGTTTCAGCATTTATAGGATTTTCCTTCTCCTGGTTGTATTTTAAACAACACACTCTTTTCTCAGGCCCGGTTGTGGACCAAGATGCCTTAGTCCAAGCGCTACAGAAGCGGACCATACGTGCAGCAGCGTTGGACGTGACCTACCCTGAACCTTTACCGAGGTACCGCAAACTGCAGCGGTCTCATTAACCCGTAATGGGGTAACGATAGGCTATGCAGCTGTTGAGTTCAGTGATCATTGTGCACATTTGAGTATTTGAAAGTGAGTTTTTCATTTGGAAAAAAAAAAAATGACACATACATTTGCCCTATCACCAATGTTGGTTATCAAATGTAAAACTCACTTTTTTTAGAAATGTATGTCAAGAAGTTATGGGTCAATGTTAGGACAAAAGGATGATATCACGTAGAGGCTCAGGCAGAAGTAAAACTGGCCTTTTCTGTTTCCTATAAAGATTAGATTAATAAAAGAAAAGATTGAAGAGAGAAATCATTATGATAAAGCCATCAAGATTTAAGTTTTTGGGGGTTATGTTTTAGCAACATAACAAAACGTTATAGCCAGGGCGAAATGTTTAGACTTTAGATTCAGAAATTGGCGGAGTTTTTCCAGTTGAACATATTTTTCTTGTAGAGATCACCCCCTCCTCCGTCTGCCCAACGTCATCATCACGCCGCATGCTGGGACGGACACTAACACCACCACAGTGAAGATGGTGCAGATGATGGTGGACAACGCCCTCGCCGCGTTAGGAGGCCGACACATGCCCAGTGAAGTCAAGCCCTTGTGACATCTGTAAATCCTTCTTTCAGCCATTAATGTAAATAAACTAACCCTGATTGATATGTTTAACTGTACCATTTAACTGTGATTTGTACTGTATTTGTAAGTAACGCAAAAATCTAATGTAAGTGTGATATTTTTAAGCTGTTTAAAGGAATTTTAAGGAATGTCAATGTTTTTAAGGAATCTGCTTTATTTAGTCATTAAAGGGACTTAAGGCAAGGCAAGTTTATTTATATAGCACAATTCATACACAAGGCAATTCAAAGTGCTGAACAAAACAAGAAAGCATTAAAATCATAAATAATCACAGAACATTAAAAAGAAAATAAAAATATAAAATCCCTCAGTTGTAGCACAGCTAAACAGAACTGTCTTTAATCTGGTTTTAAACATTGTCAGAGAGGAGGCCTGTCTCACATCTTCAGCAAGACTGTTCCAGATTTTAGCAGCATGAATCTGAAATGCAGCCTCCCCATGTTTAGTTCTGACTCTGGGCACTAACAGGAGTCCAGTCCCTGTGCTCCTCAGAGTCCGGGCTGGTTCATATGGGACTAACATGTCACTAATATATTTTGGTGCGAGGCCATGGAGAGTCTTGTAACAGGCAGAGCTGTGACTTATTCAATCATACAGAGCTCAAAATTGATCATATTACACATAAACCAGCAAAATACCTGCCACAATTGCACAGAAATGCACTAACTATAACTGTTGACACTGGATTATATATTCCCTGGAGATGAAAGTGCAGATCGCTTAAATAGACAAAAGCCAATTGCACATTAACCGATTTAGTGAAACATTTAACTTTTGAATAACGGCAGAAAACGGGTCTAAACGCAGCAACAGTTTCTGCAGCTTGACAGAAGGGTTAAGGTGAGCATTTGGGGTATGTTTTTACAAAGGGCTTGTATTAAAATCCTGTTATTATAAAAGATCCGTGGCTGTGGTTCTCTCATTGTGGACTGAATATCGGTAATGTCCTTTTTTTCCTTTTTGTCCAAGTTTCCGTTTTGCCTCAGTCTTGGTTTTGTTTGTCGCAGTGAATCATTTGAGAACCCTACTCTCTCTTGTGTCTGTATGAAGGTGTGTAAGAATAAACTGATAAATACATTATAGCCTTCATTGAGCTGCTGCTGTCTTTTCTATGATAATATTAAAGTAAGTAATCTGGTCTTCTTGGTCTTTTTCACAGACCAAAGTCACAAAACGCTTTACAATTGTGGGTATTTGTCTCTCACTCCACACAGAGATGAGAACTGGGTCACCATATAGGAGGCACATGCCAGACTTATTAGTACATGTTTTAGGGGATACCAGAGCACCCAGAGGAAACCTTCACAGACACTGAGAGAACATGCAAACTCCTCACTGTCCCGCCCAAAGCCTATATAGTTAGACCATCCATTCACTAAAGCATGCTCCAGAAGGATACATTTAAGATTTGGCCCATAATCTTGCCTTTTCGATGTTACGTCCTGGTTTGACATGGAGTGCAGAAATGACGTAGGTAGAGGTAGTTACCATAGCAACCATAAAATAAATGAGGGAAAAAACTTGTATACCGGTAGTTGACACAATAGTTAAGAATATAAGAGAATAAATCAATATATTGGTGAATGGATGTTTAGACTGGGCATACGTATATTGACAAAATTTCAAGAGATTTTGTTTGTAATTTCAGAAAGAGAAACTGTTATTTTATGCAAAAGCTTGAAATGTTTCACTTTATGCATTATAATTTTTGAGCTATGTGAAGAGAGCAAGAGATTCTTCATAATTACCGAGTCAGAAATCAGAAACCAGATCTAAGGAACAGTCTGTCATGGTGCAGACTTTCTGTTCCTTTATCTGGTTTATTTTGACACATATTTGTGCTCTTGTTGTGAGTTTTACTTCTTGTCTGTCCTGTTGATTGATTGGTTCCTGTGTTTCATTTGGATTTTTCCCTGGACTTTTAATTTCATCGTCTTCATTAAAACCTTATTATTGCCTTCCTGCATTTTGGGTCTTTGCCTCAGCTCACCACGTGACACTGTTTTTAGACCTCTGACAGTCGCTGTTGGCTTTAGGACCTTAAATGGTCAGTTATGCCCATGTCTGTAGTTATAGTGGTTTTACATCAGTTAAAATGTACCAAACAAAGTCATAGCTAAGGAGATGTACTGGTCACACCCAGTTTTAGGGTAAAAAGTAACTGTGTAGACCTCTTCCAGTGGAGGTTTTTCCATTTGTCTTTCAATCAATCATTATTTATTTGTAGAGCACCTTTCATACACAGGGCATCACAAAGCGCGTCACAGTCTACATCACACAAAGCACAAAATGTCACATAAACTCAAAATCACACAGGTAAGTAAAGCATTAGAACATTAAAATCACACAAGAAATTAAAACCAGTCTTTGTGGAGATGTTGTGTAAGTAAAAACATCTGTAATTATTTCATTGGGACATTCCAGGTAAAGTATCTCAATGTAGAGCAGCCGGCAGACTAAAGGTGACCTATTGTTGTCAGTCATGCTGCTTATGGAGTCAGTTTGCTGGGAGAAGTAAAGTAACTTCAGCACTATCCTCCCCTCCTTCCTACTTTATCTGTCTGCATTATCAGGATTTTGACTGTAGTCTGTTCATTGCTATTCACCCGTTGATTCTCTGATCTGTGTTTGCGATTTCAACGGTTTTGTTAGATTCTCTGAGAGATCTACTGTTGTGATTTAGGGCCATACAAGAATACATTGAATTGAATTGAATTGAACCTATTCTATTTCACTTTTCAAACGTATTGCTTTGCTGCAGGTGATGGCTCTGGATAAACCATGGGCCTTGATCTCAGAAGTTGGAGAAAATGGCTACTTCGACGAACAGGCAGCGATTTTAAAAGAGCATTTCCAGATTTTGCCCATTTGTGAATTCCTCCAAAACCCAGCTCTACATGGGCCCAAGATCCAGGTTTTGTTCATGTGGAAGTATTACCCAGAAGCCAGCCGTGCTCTGCTCTTGCTGCTGCCTTCTCTCAGGGCGGTGTGCAGTGGTGGGACAGGCACGGACCACCTCGACATCCCCTTCATCCACAGCCTCGGGGTGAAGATCTCCAACACGCCACACGTGGTTGCAAATGCCACTGCTGACTTTGCAATGGGACTTCTACTGGCATCGGCTCGTAAAATATGTGAAGGTCAGAAGTCACTAAATGCATTTTTATTACGAGTATTGATTCTTACTGTATCTTGATATTTACATAATGTAGGCGCTCAATCTATTTGTATTGGTCTGTAATGTACACTGCAACACTGACATTTCTGCACTGTGCAACAAATAAAGCTTATCTTAGTTGAACCAAACCATGGCACAACTTTGAAAGCTGAGTACCTACCTTCTTTCATAAAAGTCAGGAGAAGGATTCTTCTAACAAATTAAACAACAATTTGCTGTCTTTGTTAAAAAATATTTGTATCTTTGAAATGATTTCAAAGTTACATATTCCTGCTTTAATTGCACCCTAAACTGTTCAAATAGTAAAACTATATTAACATATATAGTAGCGACAGTAGCTCAGTTGGTAGAGCATTGGCCACCGTAAGACCTACTTCACGACTCCCGCTGATGTCTGCTTTCGTTGTGTCCTTGGGCAAGACACTTAACCCCACTTTGCCTGAAGCTCCCACTGAAAGATCTCAGCTCCTGTGGACTCACCACCTGCAGGAGGATCAGTGAGGGGCTGGTGCTGAGTGTACTGGGTGCAGCTCTGACTGCCACCCCCCTGACCCAGAAATGGATTAAGGGGAAGAAAATGGATGGATGGATATTAACATGTGAAACACATTTTTAAAAAAAGTCCTGCTTTTTTCCCATGTTTCCCACATGAAGGTCAAGAAATAGCCAGGGCTCCAAATACAACAATAATACCACAAACTTTGATGGGATCTGAAGTCACTGGCTCCACTCTGGGAATCATTGGGATGGGAGAAATTGGATATAAAATCGCCCAAAGAAGCAAAGGATTTGACATGAAGATTCTTTACCACAATCGAAGCAGAAGGTAAAGCAACTTTTTTTTTTAAACATAAAATGGGTAAATGAAATGGGTTAAATAAATCCAGTAGTTTTAACTTCAGGGTTCCTAACATTGCAAGCCACAAAAGTGAGTGGTTTCTCGCTTCTTTCACAAGTTGTCACATCTTTAGATTGGCTTTTGAGATGGAGATGTTGTAATCTCTTTAATTTCCAAAGAGATTCACGCATCTACTGTATTTTAAAGTTGTCCTGGCCAGACCCAGGGAAGACATAAATAGTTGACTTTTACAGTACAAAAATGTGTCTCTTTAAGACTCCCTGAGGAAGAGGCAGCAGTGGGGGCTTCTTTCTGTGAGGACATGGACGATCTGCTGAAGATGTCGGACTTTGTGATGTTGTCTTTGAAATTGACTTCTGAATCCATCGGCCTGATCGGACACAGGGAGCTGTCTCTGATGAAGCCCACGGCATCGATAATCAACGTGAGCCGAGGTGGGGAACAACCATTCACGATCCTGGAATCTCACATAGTATTAGGTCTGCAGAGCTTTTAGTTTCCAATGTAATAAGCATTTACACCAAGGTGACGCTTTGGGGCGCCCCTTCATCAGACCAAATTAATGTCAATGTCATTATTTAACCATCGCTGGCCCTCTGCCTCAGCTAAGAGGTTTAAACACATACAGCAGATAATATTCAGTAAATGTTTACAGCTATGTTTATAAATTTTGTGTTATCATCTTGTTGGAGTGCTCTTTTATTCCTACTATCCTGTAAGGCACCATCACATTTTTCCACGGTGGAACAAACAAAGTGCTTTTATCTAATCTGTTATTTACTTACAACTTTTTCCTAAAATATCAATTCTTTGTGTCAGGTCTTGTTGTGGATCAAGATGCATTAGTACAAGCACTGGAGTTTGGTACAATTCAAACTGCTGCTTTAGATGTGACCCATCCAGAACCATTACCAAGGTTTGTTAAGTGTAATAAACCCTAAAGTAATGAATAATGAACATTCTATTCTTTTTTCTTTTTGTATTGGATAGGGACCACCCTCTGCTTTGTTTGCCTAATGCACTGATCACACCTCATATGGGAATAAATACGACCAGCACTGCCAAGAAGATGGTGCAGAAAATGGTGGAAAATGCTGTAGCTGCTGTTAAAGGTTTACCGATGCCAAATGAGGTGAAACCTCAAAGCAATGAGTAACTGACATGAGACCTATAGATCCATGCATGAGACGCCTTATATTTCTGCATCATTAAAGATTGAATCAGAAACTGAAACATTTTTCTTTTCAATTGTTGTTTTTTGTTGCATGTATTATTATCATGTTATTTATCATTCAATTTAAGAGGAAACTACACATAATCTTATTAAAACTACACATTGAAGACCAGTTGTGAGGTACCTGTGAAGATGCCTGACCAAAATGTTGTACGGCTAATCATTCTTCATCATTAAAAACAATGTTTGTGTCAAAATTAAGAACGTGGATGGAAGTATTTCTTGCTCAAGATCTGGATACAGAAAATAATAATTTATCAAACATGTGTTTTTCACCAGGCGGTTCCTAGACACCTAAGTACGTCAGACTCGGTGGACACAGGACCCTGTAGGACCACTACCCTCGCGAACTGAAAATACAAACATAAGGGAAAACTACTCTAAACTCTCCTCTTCTATTACTGTAACGTGTTTCATAATCGTTCCACTTTTTCCCCAAAATTGAAAAATGTTTATTCCAGCGCTAAAGTCACCGCCGGATCTGAAAGGATTTACTCTCATCATGGTGAGTCTGAGTCATGTCAGCTTCTGAATGATCATATAATAGATCCATGTGTATGATGTGTGACAGACAGTTCATATTCTGGAAACCACGGCAGGTGTATTGCACTAACGTTAATACTGTTTGGGAAATTGCCCAATCAAAAGTGGTGTTTAGTTCTTCCTCCTAGATTTTAATGGGGAGGCAATGACAAGCTAGTGTGAAGGTTTAGCAGGTTTATGAATCCACTAATAAAGGTACTGTATGTGGAATGCACCGTTTACTGTAGATTTTTTTTTTTTTTTGTAAAATTTCAAAAGAACTTGAGCTGGCTTTCCCTTCACAAGAACCAGGTTTTCAGTCGAGTATTCAGATTCTGCCTAAAATGATTGCTTCTATGATTATATTATGATCTGAATAAATTCCCTCAACCAAATCAATGTATAAAACAGTATGATCAATATTCAAATTTTGCATATATTAAAAAAAAAAACCCTATGGATATGTTATTGTCATTGTAGCTTGATTAGTCTGTGGAAAGTCTGGGTCATTTTCTGAAGTAACATGCTTGTCACTCTCTGCCTGTAGCCTGTGGTTGCAGTGGGGAACGTTGGCCAGTTGGCAGTGGATCTGGTCATCTCCTCCTTGGACATGTGCAGAGTGGGACACATCCACACGGACTGTCTGCTCCCGATGGCAGGAAACAACCCCTACAGCAGCCGGCTGGAGGATGCTGACGGAGTGCATACGGCTGCCGAAGGTACCAGGCAGAAATGTTCATAAATGAGTACTAGACAATTATCACATGTACATAGTTTGTGCAATAGTTGTGAGTTTTTGTTGTTGGGACTGCCACAAACCAATACTTGGATGTTTATGGGGTTTTTTGTATTTTACATTTGCTGCTGTCTATAATGTAGTATAAAGGATTGTTGGCATGAGATTTAGTCACTTAAGTGTAATAGAAGGTTGAAATAAGTATGTCCTTGTAATCATAGGATTTGTTGTAGCTGTATGAGGATGTACTAATTTAAATGTTCAAGTAGTTTCAATATGATATAAGCCGTAAATATGTATTAATAAATATAATGTGAGAGTCTGAAGCTCTTGGCCTGGACAGATTTTCCTTCAGGGACAATAATGTACTCTAATGTAAACATGCTGTACGTCTTCTCTACAGTTTACATGTCCAGAGATATGAAGCTGGCAGCCCTTCAAATCCGATCACCTGTCATTCAGGTAAGTGCTACAAAACGTTTTTTTTTTTTTTACCAGTTTGTCATAGTTAATTTGTATTTTTCTATTGATGTAATTGCAGAAAAGAACCAAAAAGTTTCGTCAGGTCCTTGTGTCTTGGATCAAAGCCAGTGGTTTCTCCAGAACCATAGTGTTGTCCAGTAGTCTTGCTTATCAGAGGGATGACCGACAGCTGCAGGGGTAAATCATGACAAGAATATTGTAATCACAACTGAATAAAATATTTAATTTGACTAGTTGCAATTACCAATAAATAATCATTATAATTGTTTTGCTCAATCAACTGTTGGTAAAGTGTCACCTTGTAAAAAGTGCACCCTATATGTGGACAAAATGTACTTTTCTTAAAATTTGGCTGGTGCAGTCCTAGTCCAGCAAGTACAGTACTTACAATTGCACTGTTTATCAGAAAAATGGCAATACTTTAATATTTTGCCAAAATTGTGCAACCCTAATCAAGTAACACATTCCTGATATATTCATGGTTTCAGAAACAAATTGTCAATACAATGCAAAATCATCTGACCAAATCAAATTTCATCTTTGGTCTTGCCGAAAATGCCCATGAATAATAGTTTTTGTCTTGTGCAGGTCGGCGTTGAGGTATCTGGTTACTCCCTCCATGTGGAAGTCGAGTGAGGAGGCGCTGAAGGAGCTGCAGTGGCTGGAAATGGAGAAAGTTCAGGCTTTTCCTGGTTTGAGTGACGGAAACACTGAGCCTAAACTTTACATCCCGGGAGGCGGCATCACAAAAGGACTTTACACAGACAGGTACAAAACCTTTTATGACCAGCCTGTTTTCCACTGAAAGAGCAAAGTGTAGCAGCCCGACATGGCGTACATTTGATCTCCATCTAAAGCAAGAGGAGCAATGACTGGAGCCAAAACTACACCATCGCTAATGAAGACTAATAATCTAGATTTTACGAAGATCAAAATTTCACAATCCCTCTAATTTCTTTGTTAAACTGACTGTAGTTGTGCTGAGGACCTCCCGCTCGCTGTACTGCTCCTCTTTTGCTCTGAAGGAGACAACATCCCAGATGCTATTACGTTGAGCAACCACCTGAACAGCTGGCTCCATCTGCTGGACAATCATGTGAGTCACATTCCAAAGTATATAATACATTTTTACTGTAGCTGTATAAGATTAGTGCATAATGTCGGGATGAACATTGAGCAGGCATTTCTACTTTTGCTTTGAATCAAATGTTCTGTTTGCTTTGTCCTCACAAACATTGTAAATTATTGTTTTGGTTTTGTTTTAGGATGAAGATCAAAACAAGTGGAAAATTCCCCCTTCCTGGACTCTTATGTTTGGAGGCAGCTATCCTCCTGCACTTTTCTAAATCAATTCTTGTGGCAAACTTTAAATTCCAACCAAGTGTTTGAATACTTTGCAATAAAATCATGCCTATTTTTGTTTACATTAAATAAATCTGTCCAACAATAACATGTTGTCTGGACTTGCCCAGCCCAAGCTGGTCTAACTGAAAGTGTTTGGCCTGGATCCACCGGGCTGCTGGGAAGTCACGCCTCCGTGTAATTTGATCCTTCAGCATGTCACCTTTCGTTTTAGAGCGTTTCCATTCATTCAAAAGTTTGGTTCTCAAGTCTTAGAAGTATGTCTATTCTTCACTCATTCAGGGAAGCTGAGGATCACGAGCTTCAGGTAAATGAACGTGAAAGCACTGGATCTTCTGAATCATTTGGTCCAATAATTCTTTTAAGTATTTAAATCATACAAAAGAATAAAAAATAAAAAAATGGAAATAGCAAAATAAAAATCATTTTGTTTAGTAAACTACATAGTTTTATTTGTATTTCATAACATTACATATGAAAGTGAAACTTAAGACAATTCTTGTAAAGGAAATGAGTCATCTACTGTATTCAAATCTGTAACATTGCTTTTTAAACAAGCAAAAATATTTGTACACATTTTAGAAATACACTATGTACACATTGTTGAAACATTACATCACTTTGCACATGGAAGAGGCTTTAACGCCTCATAACTGTGAAAAACTTCAAGTAATTCATCTCAAAAATATAACTTTATATTTGCCCTCTGGAAAGAGTTTTCCTAAAAAATACACCTATGAACAACATTAAAAATTGGCAATGCATAGCCTGTTTCAGTTCAAAGCATAATCCAATAGCAAATAATTAAAGCATAAAAAGGACAGAAATCCAGAAGCGGCCAGCTTTGGTAAAGCGCTGGTGTTTGTCTGCAATGTGCTTTTGTGTTTGCTGTAAACAATTAAAGCTGAAGAAAACAGGAGGGATTTGGTGGGATTTGAACAGAAACATAGATGTTTGGTAAAAGTATAAAGGATGAGGCGACGATGACAGCGGCCGATAAGAGCAGAGTTCCCTGAGCTGAGGCCACGTGGGGGTTAGCAGTCATTAGCTTTCACTCTGGAACACAAAACAGACAATACAGAGTATTAGTAACACAAAAGACAAAGAGATACAAATTAATTTAATAAGCATCTCAGAGTTTTGATCGGGTATTTTCAGAAGATTCTTCAAGTATTCACAGGATTAGCCTAAACTGCCGTATGAATTATGAGCAACCAAAATCAAAAGCAGCAAAATCACATCCTCAGCTTAAGCCATGCACTTTTCACAACTGAATGGACCAGGCCTCATAACTGCAGCGGCTCCAGCTCAGTGCACAAACCCAAGCCAACAATGTTATTGTGTTTAAGGAAAATTGGGCAAAAGGAATAACTTACAATATACCGGTTAGGCAAATCTGTTTAGGTGCAGATCCAAAGCATGTTTTGTTTGTGAATTCAGAGGCACAACCAAACAATTTGCTTTTTTCCATCAATACGGAGCCCGAACTATGCCAAGCCAATCTCAAACCAAAGCACAGCACAAACTGCACACAGTTCATACAGGTAGAGACGGGGCGCTCTCTAAAGCTGAAATAATCCTCTAAATCTTCAACAGCGTCACAGAAGGGGGTAAAGAGACACGGCCCCCGCTGGACAGGCCAGCTCATGTCATGTGCAGCAAATGCAGCCCAAACTGTTTGAGGAGAACCATAGAGTGTGTCAGGAGTGAAGTACGAGGACAAACAAACGCTTCTCAGTCATGATAAAGTGAGCTGGTGTTTTGAGTTATAAGACAAATACACAAGGACTTTCATAAGGAAGCAAATATAGATTTCATGGACAACAATTATAATGCAGATTTGATGATTGTTTATCTTTATTCAATAAATTCCATTTTGATTCTCAAGACAAAGACCATTCATTGAATGAGCTCATTCTCACCTTGCATGTAAGATAAAACACCTCATAACCTACTGTTTAAGGAAAGAGTACAATAGTACAATATGAATGAGTGCATGAGTGAACTCTTCTTGGCGCCAGTGAGTCAGAGTAAATCACCTTTTTCTCTTCCTCTCAGAGTCGTTGGTTCTGGATTTGCTTTGGGGAGTCTTCACTGCATCAGATTTAGAGATGCTGTCCTCTCTACGTCTTTTGCTGAAAGCAAAAATATACATTTCAATACTATGACATACCATGACAAATTATCTAGATCTGTAAATCGTTTTATTGCAGGGGTCTCCAACCTATAGCTCACCAGCCCCTTTCAGGTAGCTCCCCACTGGATTTAGAATTGAACACATGGTCCTGAATGACTACATTTTGAGTTGTTACATATCTATTATAAGTAAAACATATAATGTTATAAAATATTATATTTACATGTGTGTTCAATCTTATCTTAATTATTGCACAGATTTTTATTACGACTGCAAAAAAGGAGTAGCTCTCTGCCCCTTCTGTTGTATAAAAGTAGCTCTCCGATTGAAAATGGTTGGAGACCCCTGTTTTATTGCATAGCCCCAGTCTTGATTTGTGCCTGCATTAAAAGCTGTGCCAACATTGTCTAGAGGTGGTCAAATAAATGTCTTGTCTCCTATATATTGGAACAGTGCCATGCATACTGTAACTGTAAATGGGATACACAGAGAATTTCCAAAAGTAGTCCCATTATCCACAAAACAAAACAAGCATACATACGCTCACAAGTTATAAAATAAAATAAAATAAAATAAAAGCTATAGGGCTGGGCAATATAATATTGGTATAATTCTGAGTGACGGTATGACAGTAAAATAGCATTTGTGATTCGAGATTGAGATTTGACAGAGGCCAAATATATACACATGTGAATATCACAGATTTTCTTTGTTTCTTAATAAAGTTGTGCAATTTTGAAGATTCTTCCCAGCGCTATTTATATCTTGAATTATATCGTTATCGTGATATTTCCTTCTCATATCGTGATATGATTTTTTTGGCCGCATTGCAGAGCCCTATGAAAGCAGATAACTAGATCAGCACAATGCAAACATTACAACAGAAGAGACGAGAACCCTTCAGAGGTGGTAATGTGCTGCAAAAATGGGAATGAACATTTCTGATTGGCTGAAAGCACTTTTTTCTAAGTAGTGGAACAGTTTTATCATTTTTATGCAGCAAATCAGAGTGTGTGGCTCAGCTCTAAAAATGTAATGATGGTCAGACCCGAGTTTTCCCAAATTAACAATTTAAATTTGGCCAAGATTCTGCAGCAAAATGTTTCCCATCCCGGACTTTTAAAGGCCGCATTAGTTTAGTTGTGGCATCTTCATTGCATATGAAAATAAGATGGCAGCTTTTTGGGTTAGACGGTTTCTAACCCAGGAAGCTGCCATCTCAGGTACTGAACCCAGTACTGACTTTGTGGTGCTGCCGTCGGCCTCCGTGTCTCTGTGCGGCGATGGCGAGGCGGTCCTGCCGTCTGGCCTGTAGTCTGTGCCTCCGTTAAGTCTCTCTGTGGAACACCGCGTCTGCCCTGAAGATGACGAGTCAGTCTTAGGTTCTTGGTCCTCGCAGGACTGCTCTCGCCACCGGATCTACAAACACAAATATGACAAACATGAATTAGATTAGATGATAGAATTAGTTTTGCTGTTCAGTAATTGGCCTTTTGCCTTAGTTTGCATAAGGTTCTAAAATGTGATTCATTTCATACGAAAGGAGGAGCTATTTTTACCCAATTAACCGGTAATAAAGGTTCATCCATAAATAATAAAGTAACAGGCAAATTGAGATACAAAGTTAAAATGTGATTTTATAATATATTGATCTAACAAGGGATCAACGAAGTACATCTAAAACTAGTCACTTGGCATTTTCTGTAGAAAGTGTCAAGAATTTCCATAAAATGATTTTATTGATGTTATTTATAAAAAAACTACCATTCGTCAGTGGAACATGCTGCCCACAGAGCTGATAGCAAGCACAAATGCGTACATGTTCTCACGCCTTCTAAAGAAATGGTTATTATCAAACCGAACTTGCACTCATGTGTAGCTTGTGTGAGTGTGTAAGAGGGGGGGGGGGGGTGTTTGACCAGTATCAATGAGTGATATGAATGTGAGTTTTAAACAAATTGTGCATGTAAAGACTTGTATTTTGGCCAAATGTAAACTACATCCATGAACGTGTGTTATTTTTAATGTGATATAACATCAGCCTGCCCAGGGACTACAGGTGGAAATTAGCTCTTGAGCTATAACCTGGTACAATGCATCTCTCCTTTTGAGGTTAATGTTTATTGTGCACTGTCCTTGTCATCTTAAATAAATAAACTAAACTAATCTATTTGTTGTGTTGTAAGCTGAATACAACATTTCCTTATTAAACGTGAATTTTAGTGTTTAAAGTTATACGAGATCCTTTTGGCTCCAAGTCTGAAACATTAAAAGATAAACTTGTTTGCATTGAGGCTTGTTTGCGTCATACCATCTCCGGTCATATGACACAGAGAGTACAAAGGCTGTATTTATGTTTACTGAAGACCGTCACTTCTGTCTTTGCATTATGAGTCACAACGGCAAAAACAAGAATGTGAATCCAATATCCTTCTCGTTGAGTTTGCACAACTATAAAAGCTTTCGTACCGACACAGAGGAGTCTCCCATGAATTTCCCTCCTTCCAAAATGGCCATGTAGGAGAAGCGCAGCTGGTCTGGAGTCTGTATGAGGCCCATGCGGTATTTCCTCATGTCCAAAAGAATACTTTTTATGTCCACGGACAGTGGGTCTTTCCTCTTATCCATCTGAACACAAAACCAAACGACTCATTTAATTGTACAGACAAAAAACAGACATATCATAGAACTTTCAAGATTCAAGAATTTAAAAACCTTGCAAGACTACCCCAGTGTGCACCAGATGGCACATGGATAGATAAATAGATACTTTATTGATCCCCCTGTAGGAGAAATTCAGGTGTCCAGTAGCAGAAGACTCATCCAGGTTTGTTGCACAGTCTGAGAGCCCTTGCCATGGCGCCATTTTCCGGCGCCATGCTTTGGAGGACAAATTTCATGCCTTACATATAGACATGACTAAAGAAGTTGGCGATGACGCTAATGTACCGACCCTACCATCCAGTGGTAGAAGTGAAAAAATACAATATATTGAGAAAGGAACTTTTTGTAAAAACGGATGTGGTTGTGCTGTCAGAGATTCTTCAGTTGACCATGGATGGATCTCAAAGTCTATTTTTGAGCTTTGTTTTCCAGTCCTTAAATAATAAATACATTTACTGGTCCCCATTTATTTAAAACTAAATATACCTTTTTGTTTAGAGAAAAAATGATGAACTTCAGACCACAGCACTTATGCTCACCAGGACGAGACACGTGTCCACTAAGGAGAACGTCCCCGAGCGGCCGATCCCAGCGCTGCAGTGGACCACAGCCGGCCCGTGGTCCACACCCAGGGCCCCCGACTCCCGGACCTTAAAGAGGAAGTTTAGGAAAGACGCTGGTGAATCTGGAACTCCGAAGTCAGGCCACGTGGTGTAATGAAAGTGGTAGATCTCTCGCTTCTCTCCAGTCTGAGGAAAACACAGAAAAGACTGTAGCAAGGGAACATATTTACATTTGAGCTAAAGTCTTAAGCAATGAAAGCATGTAAAGCAGAATACATGTAGTCATTCAAAATATCAAATAGGTTCTTTGGAAAATATCGTCTGGCAAATTGTCGGACATGAAATTGCTATTTGGGTGTTGTAGTGTTGTGTGTTAAATACAGACTGTACAATGAACAATTAAGTATCCATACTATTATTAATATTTCATTTATCAATCAATCAACTTATATTTGTAGAGCGCCTTTCCAACACAAGACAACACAAAACGCCTCACAACAAAAACCACATCAAGCTAAAATCAAACATTAAAAAATACAATTAAAATCCTATAGGACATTAATAACACACAATAAGATCACAAGAAATATCAAAAGCATAGTTAAAAAGTAGTTAAAAACCTTAAAACGTTAAAATCACACATGGTATTAAAATAATTAATAGTCACATTGCATTAAAAAGAGTAAAAATGAAATCATTACCAAACTGAACTTTTTTTTAACCTAGATTTTTAACATTTAATAATTTATGTTTATAATTTGCTTCTTATTAAACTAAAGATACCCATTTTATTTCATTTTTTTTAATGTAGAGTTGTTTATATAAAACATTCACTCATATTGTGTGTGTGTGCTTCTCAATCCTACTGTTCTGTGTTTTCTGCGATGCAGAGCAATCTGTGTTTTATTGTGAATTTTTAAACTAGATCTTTTTTGTTACGAAAGATTGGCACATTTCACGATTATGACGTCAAACCTCAATTAGGTACTTTACACAACTCTTAACCGATGTTTTGTGTCAATGCTGGAAAACCGCCATTGTTACCACTTCCTCCAAAAACAAAACCACAGAAGCAATAAAACAAAAAACATTATTGTCATCGTGATATATGAAAAGTAGTTAGTAGGAATTGACGTCCAGCGAGCGCAGCAGTTTTACCTCCATGTTTTTTAGCTCCAAAACTCGAGTTGTGTAATAGGATTTGGGCTCCTCTGACATCAGTGTGACCAAGAAGTGTGTGTCCCTGAACGTCATCTCCCTCTCTTCCGCTGAAGGCCAGTACTGCGCACACTTTTCCTGTTGAACATGCAAACATCACCAGTTTTATTTCAATGATTAATAGGAATTGGGTTCATTACAGACTTGTTATATTCTCTGGAAAGTAAAAGTGTAAAACCAATACCAACTAAATTACTCACATGAATCATACATTATCAACATGAGTCTATAGTAGCCTGCTAAATGAATTAATGTCTTTGATTATTAACAGATTTTCCCAAAAAATGGCTAAATAAATGAACCTCTTTGAATCTAAAATATTCATGAATTCGCTGCATTCTGTCCTTTTTAAATATCAGATTTCTACGAATACTACTTCCTCTGAAATACACTGTTCCACGTATTCAAATCAACTGATAAAAAATAAATGAAATCATGAAACCGAGAAGTTGGTGGATTGCAATAAACCAATCCCATTAATAACGGATAACAGCCGCAGACAAGGTGTGTCTCATTCACACAAATTCTGGGAAAGCGGTGAGGGAAAAGTCACGGCCAGAAAAGATCCATGTCCAGCTGCTCTACGGAGAAAGAGGGATTACAGCTGGTGAGGGGGGCAAGGTTAATCTCCCAATCACAGGAAAACTGTTTAGTAGCATCCCAGTTTGAGACTCTTCCGTGAACGCTGTCAAAACACCACATTCCTCCTGTCCCGCCGTTTCACAAACACACCGAGAATAAACACAAAAGCGACCCCCTTATAACATAGTATGCTTGTTACCATGGCAATTACCAGTATAATCTGTTACTACAAAACAGTTACAAAAAAATTTATATTATCCTTTATTCAAAACAACATATGAACTGATCTTTCCCATTGTAAAACAGAATTGCCAAAATGAAGTGAACAATGCAGCTCAACCATTATAAAACAAGCTCGACAGGTTTGTGGACACCAAGCACATTTTCATTCACTGGGATTTTTTGTTGTTGTTAGCAGTTTCACCAGTAGTTTTATTATATCATTGCAATCAAGTTACATAAGAGATAACAAGGCAGTTCTATTGTCGTGCCCTATGTTTATGAACCGCGCTATAGTAGTTTTAAGAAGATGATGCAATAGTTGAAGATGTAGTTGACTTAAGATTATTTTCAGTTTCCTTGTTCAACTAGTTAAGTTCTCAAAGTCTTTTTTAGTGCCATTGTAAGTAACAGGAAGTCATAAACTATGAATTTGCTTTGGATCATAATGCAAACATGTTATAATGAAAAAATAGATACAAGGCTTGAAAGAAAAAAATATGCTGTTTCTATGTTTTTTTTAATGAAATGGATAAGGCAAAAATAAGCTATACTTTAGCCTAATCCCTTCGGTCACAAATGCGTTTGTATATCTATGTTAAAGCATGTACACTACTGACATAAGATAAATTGTTTTTGTAACCTTGCCCTTTTTTATGTCAAAAAATAATAATTTGTATGATTCAATAAACAAACCTACTACATGTTTATGTATTCAAGAATTAATTTGGTCTATTACAAGATTAGTATTATAGCTACAGTGGTGTTAAAATGTAAACAAAAGCAGTTACATGATCACACAATTGCATTGACTCTTCTTACCGAGCCCTTCTCTATGACTCTGTTGAGCATGATGACAGCTTTAGTTTTTTGCTCCCAGATCATCAGCCAGAAGTGACCACATGTATTTCTGAGGGGCCCCTGGAAAGAAGGAACAAAAATGTGTAGTCATTCAAACAATAGTAGCCAGGACTCAGACACGCACTGGGAGATTGGAGCCCCCTTTGTTTCAATAAATATGAAAATTCTTATATGTGAGCCGATTCGACATTTTGACATCATTCTCTAGTTCCCACTAAGCTATTCAAGTCCTTGCCTTACCTGTGTCAGGATATAACGTCTTTGAGCTTCGTCAATCACTACCAGGCTTGCATTAATGTAGTCGTTTTCTGTACTCTCCAGCTTAACTCGACTGTGGTCAACTGTGAATAATGAGCAACAGCATTAGAACGTTTTTCAGAGAGCGTGGATATATCATATTTTACTATAATAAAAAAATCATAAAAGCTTACACATGAAACTAACTAATCAGGCTAAAAGCACTGAAATTGATGTATTTACCCATTTGACCCTGCAGCAGCTTGTCGGGTTTTCCATAACTTCTATGCTTACCTTTTAAATATAGAACTTTTGCTAATGCATCTATATGGATCTTTGCTGCCAGTGACATCGTTTTCCAAGACTCTGAACAGAAAAAAAAAATACCAGTCGATTTATACTTACATGGACTGACATCTCTGTATCTGTTACGATTTCGGTTCTCTGGGTACTTTGCCACTTTGAAGGGGCACTCGTGAGACTGGCTTCTAATGTCCTAGGAACCAAAAAGAATGATTGAAGTATAAACTTATCACAGAGTTGACTGGTGGATGGATGAACGCAACAACATATTAATGAATGTAAAAGGAGATGTAGAAGGTAAAAACAACAAGTGACAGCGCTAGATCTGGTTCAGCCATTGCTCTGTTAAAGGTGAAATTCAGCAGAAGATTCAGACTTGATTAACAAACAGAACCAAAGTATGGGGCGCTCAGTTGCTCCCCTGCTAAGATAAATACGCGCTTTAGTGGCTGATTGTTAGCATTGAGCTAACAGTGCAAAAGACTTACTAGATATAGTTTCTGCCACCGCCCGTCGGAATCTATGTCCTCAAACTCCTGGTCCATTTCCGCGGTGGTGAAGGGTCACAAACGGGAACAGAGAAGCAGGGTGTTATCTACCTCATCGCTTTAATAAACTAAAACGAGCCTAGGATGACAGAAGTGTTAGCTCCTCTCGCTAGCGATGTTTGTCCGTTATCTGTAGAGTTGATCCAAATCCATGGCGTGTGCGCATGCGCCACACAAAGCGCTGGCATTGGCTGTCATACTTGTGATGTGTTCAGCATAATATTTACAGTCTGTGGCATAAACAAATCTCCATGACTCATTTTCTTTTGAATTACTAATAGATTCATGCAAATTACTCACTTTACGACTTTCACTGTGTTGAAAGTCGTTTGATGAAAATGCTGTACATAATTATTATTACTATTATTATTTTTGTATTATTATTTTTTTTAGGCATAAACAAATGTTTTAACTATCTTTAGATCACACTTTTCCAACCATCGTGAGTACCTCCTAAATTACACTTCACCAAACGCTATCCACATGTTTTAAATAAACCATTCATCGTATCTATTCACGTGCCCCTGATTGGGAAACACCAACTATCTACAAGTCTTTTGTGATGGCATGTTTTTGGGTTGGTGAATATTTTGTCTATTTTTGTTTTATACATTTATTCGCTAACAATGTGGTTTCATTTCCACCAAACGCACACAGTGTGGCGCAATATCCATTTGTAAACATGAAAATCGGCCCAATCTTTTTCAACCAAATAAAGTCATGTTTCTTGTTCAACAATTGTTTTCATTTGACTTTAAATTGAACCCTAGTGTGATAAAAGTGGGATACAAGATTGCCATTGATTGATTGCACATAGAAACATAAGCAGGTTCCCGGGGGTTCTCCCACTTCCATTTACGTTGCTGTGCTGCAGACTCACAGTCATTTGGGGAATGCACGGAAGCAGCAGCCAAGTTCTGGCTCGTTGTGAAACTACTACCACAAGACCCGTGGACATGGACAGTCACGTCTAGCGAACAAGGGACCCCAGAAGGTAAATACAAAACCACACGTTTCATATGTTGAACCCGTGAGTTGATCAACACGATCGGAACAGAACCGACTTCCTTTCCCAATCTGCCCAGAAGCTAACATGCTAACAGTAGCAGTTTTTAGCGTTAGCTGTGTTCTTAATTCTCGACCGTGGTGGTAAAAGTGTGTTTGCTGTGATATCAATCTGAACTGTATTTGTCCACGAAGGCCACAGCATAACATACTCTTCCCACATGTTGTTTGGACGTTAACGGGCCGTATACCTGACAGTCTCCATTATCTGTTTTCATTAGCATTTATTTATGCTAACGTTGAGGAGTCAGATGTATCCAGTACAAGTCGTTACCTGTAAGTTTCCACACGTTTACGCTTTCTATCAACTGAAATTATCAATTGTTTGCATTGTTATTCATTTAATGTTAACTTCATTCTTGATTTGTATTGCAGTGTTTAAAGTTAAGACGTGGGGTTTAATGACTTGGAAGTGTCAACAATGTAATAATAATAATAATAATAATGCATCGGTTTTATATAGCGCTTTTCAAGAATTCAAAGACTCTTCACAACAATGTCTATGCCTTAGATCATGACATTAGCAGACAACAATCCTAATTTCTCATCATTCCTATGTTCCAGGGAGCTAGGATACTTCCCTGCTTCTACGTGTAAAAATCTTAAATTGGTGATTTCCAGTTTCCCCCACTTTCTCACAAAGATGATTCCAGCCAAATGTAGTTCCTATGTCATGTCATATTGTTCTACTAGGAAATATCTCACTTCCTAGTCTCTTGGAAGGCATCTTGTAGGATTAAAGAACGAACCGTAGTGTAATTTTAATGAAACATTGGGGATTCAAGGATACAGAATCTTTTAGAATTCCCATTGGCTACAGGGCTCCATGGTGTATCACACATTTTTCTGTAGTTGCTTTCTCTTCGCAAGGTCTGTGCCTAAAATTGGAAAATATAAAAGCTTTACCTCAGCTTTTCTCAATCTCTATCTTTATCTGTGTGTAAATTAAAATCAGGAAAAGCCCAGCAATGGGCTGAAGTGGACTGATTTGAAGCAAGAAGTAATCAAGAAACAAACAGCATGTGTCTTTTACCTTTCTTCATTTGTGTTTTGCTTAAATTTTGCCAAAATATTTCAATACTAGTGCAGATTGTGAACAAATCGGACCACAAAATGCTGTCACCTTAGAAAACATTTTGAGTCACTATATATGCTTTGACCTTAGCACTGATTGGTCTTCGGTTTCTCTTTTCCATGACAATGCTAATGACAAAGGTCAAATATGCCTGCATGTAAAACTAGTGATAGAATCAGAATTTTTTTCAAGCAAGGAACATCATTTTGTGGTTTGAAAGTCAGGTACTCCTGCTTTAAATATGGGTTTGCTTTTGCCTTTCCACAACCAAATCAAATCTAGTTGGAAATTGTGGTCCCATCCATCAATATGGGGAAGACAAATGCAATATCCCCCTCCCAGTTTACCCAACTTAAACTTTAAGCACAATGCGTTATAACATCCAAATAAGGACAGTTGTACATCTTCCTTGTGCTTTTGACCACTCACACAGGAGAGCGCGTCCTTCACAGCGAAGGCGGTCAATGATGTGAAAGTGTGAGCGCACTGTTGGCTACAGCTCAGAGCCTGTGGCTCCTCCACATGTTGTGCTTCACTTTTCTGTGTTTCAGGAACACATTGGATGCTTTATTTTATTGGCACTGTCAAGGCAACAGGGAGGAATACACTTTCATAGAAGTCACATTAGAAGTTTTGCACTGACCCCTTTTGAGACCCAAACTGTTGAGATATTCTGAATCATTCAGATTTATCAAAGTTGTCTATCTGCTATTCTGTTGTCTTTGATTAATCCCGGTGGCCGAGCGTTTCTGGTAAATTATGAATAGCTGTTGTTGCTATTCATTTCCTTGTGCAGATCGGAAAAGGAGGAATTTAGTCCTTTTCCCAATTGTACACAAACCATGTGCTTTGTCTTTTAGGTCTGCGGTCTACAGTATTTTCACACAAAAAATGAAACAACAACATTTAAAATATGAAACCGTTTATTCCTCTTAAACTGTTCTATGCTGCAACAGAGTTTCCAAACAGTTGAACTAATTAATGTCAAAAGATACTCAAATCTTTTAGATGGTTAATTTTAAGATTCTCTGGACACATTATACAGATGGACTACTGGTATCTGGACTAGAATACATATTGGTACATGTACACAGTTGCCCCTTCCCTGACTGGCAGACAAGTGATTGCTGCAGTGTTCTTGTATACATGTTCTTGACATTTGTCTACAGAACCTTTCATCAGGACTGTAGATTTCTTTATAGCCATTTTAAAGTTTAACTGTATCTTGGTTCACTGCCAATTAACATATTGTTTACATGTCAAAATCTAAAGGAGCTTGATGTGCATTGTTATAAAGCATATTGTGGAAAGCCTCGCTGTCTCAGAACCAGCTCCTCAGTGAAAAGGATATTTGGATTCCTTTGGCTTGTGGTGGCAGTAATTCAGTGCTTGGAATTATAAATGTATTGAAAGTGCTCTCAGTAGATTTCACTCTATTCAACAGCCTCATGTTACCAATTTACCATTCACAAAAAATGTCTCATACACCTGAAAATCATGGAACATCCCAACAACCCGCTATAGTGGCCCTGTATGAGCAACCACTCGCCAGTAAACCGCTGAATGCATTGTTGTGACCAGGAAGTGTGACGTCCAGCTGGAATGCAGCGGAAATTCGACTACGTGATGAGCTCGCATGAGAAAATGCTTTTATATTAGGATTGGAAGCTATTCATAACAAGACTCAAGGTAAATTAACTGGGTCATGGCCTCTAGACCTTATAGACTGTTAGATAAACACATCAGTAAAATACCTTTTATGGCTTTGTGTGTTTGTGTTATCTTGGCTGGCTAATATTTACTTAATTTCACCTTTTTGATCTCCTCACCTCAACAGTGAGATGATGCAGCAGATAAGTTATAAGTAGTATATACATGTGGCTACAGTAGTAGTTTATCACCACCATGTTTGGAGTGAATGAATAATGACATGTAAAGCGTCTTTGAGTGTCCAAAAAAAACCCTATATAAAACCGATTTTTTAATTATTATTATTATTATTATTATTATACTGAAGGTTTTCCGCCTGCCAAGACCAGGCGTTAAAGCTCTGTGGTCAAGTGAGGACTGCACTTGTAAAATCCTTACCAATTAAACTCAAATGACACCGTTTCCATGCCCGTTTTGAGACAAATCAAAAGGCCAAAACTTCTGCCAATTCAGCTCGTTTTCAAAGCTATGCATTTAAAACTACATACAAATATTTCTTAATTAGTGGCCTGAGATGTTATAAAACAATCACATTGACATAATTTATCATATCACTTTTCTATAACCATAAATAAATGGTTTTAGCCTGCTGTCTGTTGTTTGAGATGTCCATTAATGCTGTAAAATGTTATGCACTTTTTGCTGGAGCTTGCTGTGCCCCAGGTCACATGAAGATCTGGGACACCGTACAGTGCCCTCAATGCCCGGAGCCGTTCACTTGAATGCATTCATCACACTATCCACTGGCACAATCGCCACAGCAGCATTGACAGGATTTTCCACTTTGAGCACGCCTGAGATAATTTCTCTTTGTGGCTGCCCGCTGCCTTGTTAAAGTTTCCTCTCACTCACATGAGTCATGACTAAAGTTGACCCAATACATCATAATCATCTGCTCGGGCTCTTGTCTTGACTTCTGTTTGATAAAGAAAATATTATTCTATGGTAATGAGCCATGTGCTCAGAGGACTGCCCACAAATTACAATCAAATCTGCTGTAGCAGTAATTAGTAATTGTAATTTTGACCACAAACCAAGTGGTTCTAAAATGTGAATGAATTAATGTTAAAGTGTCAGTTAATACATATTCACTATATATTAGTTAATTATTTTGTAAAATATCTACTCCTCTATATTCACATTAGGTATTACGTATACAATTAGGTATTTGTATCAGCACCACTTCTGGGCCCAAGTAATAGTATCTGATTGGATCCCAAAATCACTAGCATTCATGAATGAAATGTTTGTCACATTTTGTCTGAGCAAAATTTACAAAATTATATGGACAGTTACTTTGTCTCTACTCTTTCTGGACTTTCGTGATGTCCTCTGAAGTTATTCGTAGTAAATGATTAATTGCTTAGTCTATTATGTCCTATTACCTTTCATACTAAAGCTGGAGCGGCTAAGAGCAAACATCTTTGTCTCATTACACTTCACTGCTCTGAATACTTTTCAAAATGTAAAGGAAGGTCCACCTTATATCCATGTTGTATTGTTAAGGTCATCTTTCCCTGTAGTAAAACATTTAGCCAACGTCCTGTTTCGGTTCACACTCAAAAGCTTTGTGGAAGGATATGGAGATTTTACGTTTGTTCAAAACATTGCAGTAAAAGTTGACGATGCAGAAGAAACCGCCTAGGTGCATAGTCTACTTTGAGTTGCGTTTTGTTAAGTCATTATCTGGTTCCCGGGGAGGTTTCCTGAAAATGAATCCTAATTCCTAAGAAAGGGAGAGCCCTGGGAAATAAAGGGTTGTTGTTCAATTGTGCAGTGAAGGCATTTTATGCCTGACTATAATCTCACCTCTGTTCTGTAATGTTTGTAATTTACTGTGGTAGAGCAACACGATCTCATGGCTTCACGTTCACATTCCATTTTTACATCAAATAATTGTGATATGGTGTATTGTACAGCACAGCAAGAGAACATGTAGTAAATAAAGTCCAAATTGACAAAATTAACATTAATGCAATATTTTGAAACTTTGCAGAAAGAGCCTTTTTTTGTTTTGTTTAAACTGATTGTGATAAGTGATAAGACTTAAGTGTGTTTTGTTTCGGAGCAGAAAAATTAATGACCAAAACAAAAGCCTTTATCTCTGCTGTGGTTCAAAGCAGTTTTGAACCAGCAACAGTCCAGCGTCCAGTCTGTTCTATAGAAGGATGACGGGATTAGTCTGTTGCTGTAGTGTAAAACTAAGGTCATGTTGAAGTCTGGGTCGGGTGTGGCGCATTGATGCAGCTGTGGACACATCTGAAAAAGTGTGTGCTCAGGGAACTCTGGGCTTTTGTTTGGTTTTGTCCACGTTCCACAGAAACGCTCTCCAGTGCGCTCGAGCTTCGCTAGAGGACATTATTTTAGTACTTCTGCAGTGCCATTTTATCATCAATTCAACTTGTCACACATGGCTTGATTCATTAAGTCATGTAATAGTTTATCAAAACTTGAGTGCGCAATCCTGTGAGAACATATTGCAAAACAGGCCAAAAATACAAAAAGGATCTCTGGGCAACTCCATATTATAATACTGTATGTCCAGGGTGTGGTTTGAAGTCTGTATGTTGATGATGTCAAAGCCAATTAGAAGCAATGTGACTAATAGTTGCAGCCCAAGTTGATTGGATATTCTAGTAAATGTAAACAATAATTGTTTGATCACCACTGACAAGTCTAGCAGGTCTCGAATGACAATGCAAAATATATGATGCATTTAAAGCTAGAGTTTCCTAACATTGAAAACAAAAAATGGCAAAACATTCATGAATCTAGTTCCTGGCTCTATCACCAGTTTGATTCTAGCGCTAGTTTTTACAGTATTTTTGGCCTTTGTCAATACCAGACCTTTTGTTTGTCACATCTTTCTGTTGGTACAAAATAAATGTATTTATAAAACACAAAGGTTTAGGTACTCCAGCTTTAATGTGTCTTTTCTTTGTGTCAAACAGATTGTCTGCTTCATTCCTGGGCCTGAGACGGGACTTCGCTGCGATGTCCTAACTCTCATCAGTCTCCCCCTGTCTCTGTCCTCGACGGGACGATCCCAGTGTGTGTTCCATGTCGGATATGAGCAGCCCTCAGCCGCACCATGACAGCGCGGACCTCCACTCCGCCGCCTCCTCAGTCAGTTTGTCTGTCCGGAAAACTCCCAAGAAACGCCGCTTTTCTCTGCAGTCGATATTTGGGCGCCGCTACCGACTGGACACAAAACGCAGGTCAAAGACTCAATCTTCTGAAGGTATCCCGGCACAAGATGGCGTCCACTCAGAGGCCTTCCAGGACAAAACTTCTGCCCACTCCGCCTTGGGCCTCGTCTCCACCGCCTCCGCATCGGGGTCTTTGTCTGACCTACTTGAATGTCCGCTCTGCTTGTTGCGGCATTCGCGGGACCGCTTCCCCGACATCATGACGTGCCATCACCGATCCTGCGCCGACTGTTTGCGTCAGTACCTCCGCATTGAGATCTCTGAGTCCCGCGTCAACATCAGCTGCCCCGAGTGCTCCGAGCGCTTCAACCCCCACGACATCCAGATGATCCTGGGAGACCGCGCCCTCATGGAGAAGTACGAGGAGTTTATGCTGCGCCGGTGGCTGGTGGCCGAGCCAGACTGCCGCTGGTGTCCCGCCCCGGACTGTGGGTAAGACGAGTGGCAGGAAACAAGAGCTGAGCTTATGTGACCAGTTACACTACTCTTTCACTGAAATATATTATACATAACTGTAACTTGGATTAGACAAAAATAATGCACCCATTTTTCTCTACTTCCTGATTTGGACAAACTGAAGCTGTATTGTTGCAACATATTGTAAACAATGCCTAATCAACAAGACTTGATCACACAATAAGAACAGAACGAATCCTGAGATGTTCCAATACCGTTTGGATATGATAACTAGTGCTGCGTGATATTGGTCGCCGATAAGGTAATTTTTTCCGGTATCAAAATAGGGTCGATCTTATCAGGCCAATAATTATTCCAGTGTATTTGAGGTGTATGTAGGCGTGATGTTTGTATGTAGATGTGAGTCTACATACAAACGGGAGTTTGTTTTTGCACTATCACATAAATGTACACATGCTATATATTTCCACATCGGTAACTCTTGGCATCAGCCATAATGGCATTAACATTTCGGACAGAGTTTTCACATTGTGAATTGGGTGCAGCTCTGACTGCTACCTCCCCCCCCGACCAGTGGGGGCGGGTCCCAGCTCAAAAGTGGCCAAAATGACGTGCGCTGACATGCTTGCAATACCACCCCGATGGGGGTGGACCCAGAAGAAGAATTAGCCAATGCTAAAATGTAGCATTGGCAGACCTCTCGAAAACGTCTTTACAGGATGGTCCAAAAGTCGGCTCTTGGCCCAAAGCTCCGTTCCACATGTGTGTCAATGCTGAGGGGGGTGAATTTTTTTTTGGTCCACTCTAGTTTACTCGCTGTGAATTTTTGAAGTCTCTCGTTCAAATGAATGGAGCTGATGCGTTTTTTCACAATTTTCTTGTGGGCGGGACCACTTGCGGCCATTTTGGATAGCTCCAGTAGAGCACTTTTTAAATATTTGTATGTAGTTTTTTTAAACTTGGGGCAAACTGGTTAATCCTGGTTCAGCTTCAGATCTGGCTCAGTCCTGGCTCAGTCTGGCTCTTTCGTAACACCAACCGCTGAGCGGAGTTGGAGTTAAAATACTGTAACTCACTTTATTGACTTTAGTAAAAAGTTATCGCCCAGTTTTAGATTTTTAAACTGGGTAATAAATCAAAAACTGTTACATTTCTTTGTTACAGCAAAAAAAAAAGCATTACAGTAATTGCATTACGTTTGTAGTCCAATACTCCCAACACTGTTTATGTGACATTTAAGATCAATTAATATTTGGATTCACAGATTCAGTTTTTATCTCATGATTTCTATGTGAATTCACTCTACAACGTTTTCTTTCCGTAGATGCACTGCTGTTCCCAGATATAGCGCCCAGAACTATTTTCACACACCCAGAGTTATTAATACATTCGACAGACCTGTAAATGACATCACTCTTTTGTCATTGGACTATTTTACGAGACAATGTCACAGATAAAAGTATGTCTCAGTGGTTTCACTCAGTCCCCTCCCCAGTTTAAATATATCTGGCACAGCGCACTGTACAAATGCTCCGTGCAGATTCTTCAGTTTGCTCTCAGGGGCCATGTACATGTTTGTTCAATGGGTCACCCCGCTTCATTTTATAACCTAAACACTCCCACAACATGTTGTGTGTTTAGTTTGGGGACTGATAATGGCTTAAGCCCTGAATCCATCTTAGTCCCTCTGCTGAGGCCCTTCTGACCCTGTTTTTGGAATAATGGCCCTTTCATAAATGCGCCGCGCCTCTTGTCCTGGATTCCCAAACACTCGCTCTCGGCCTTGTTCATGAGAGCTTTCCTGTGGATGAACTGCCGAGCTCTGAAGGCTAGCTAAACTAATAAATCTATTCCCCAGGTCTTCAACTAACACTATTTGGATGGTGTTTTAACATTTAACGGTGAAACTGACCATCGCTTACCTTGTTGTAAATGACTTATTTGTGTGACAGATATCAATGTAATTTTCAGCACAAAAACTCTCGACAATCTCCTCAATGACGTTACTGTTTGCGTGCAGCTTCCTCTGATCAGATTATGTTGTTCTCATGTCTTTCAGATTAGATCCTTATCTGGTTATAGCTCAGTCATTGCCCCGTTCTCGGCATCAGCTGATTGTCTGTGTTTTTCTGCTTTCACGGCGAGTTGACGGTTCACTGGAGTATTTAACTATTCAGCTCGGCACCCTCTTCTGCAGTCGTTCAGTGCACATTCTTCCCCACAGAGTGCCACAAATATCTCTGGCTTCAACACTGCATAATTACTTATTCTTAGCACTTTAAGTTTAGGTGCTATGCGTGACAGATTTAACTGCCTCATTTTGACGCAGAAATAGTTGGTTTCTTTAGCAATAATTACGTTCGGGTGTTAAGTGGGTTCAGCCTCTGTCACGCCATGTAGTTTAGAAAAAAAGGCTTTTAAATTGATCAATGCAGCAACAGACTGAGCACTGTCTCATTTAGTCAGACTGAACCTATTGAGTCGCTATTGAACACTTGTGTAAGAGCTCACAGCTGAAACCACTACAGAACGTTGCCCAATTACTATTACATTTAGCCTGCTGCCACTGGATGTGATTTACGGGCTATAATTCCACCTTTTTAGTCTTGTCTTTTCTCTGCTTATATTCCAGTTATGCTGTGATTGCGTTTGGATGTGCCAGTTGTCCTAAAATCACTTGTGGACGTGATGGCTGCGGGACAGAGTTCTGTTACCACTGCAAACAGCTGTGGCACCCCAACCAGACGTGTGACACAGCCCGCCAGCAGAGGGCGCAACACCTGCGACTGCGCAGCTTCAGGTCCTTGTCACTCAGCCACAGCCAGGAAAGCGGCGCTGCAGGTGACCACTGCTCTCATCTTAAACAGATGCAAAATTAGGTTATTTTTCCTTCGTAGTAAATAAACGCTAATTGGCAACGGTCCTAATTTTTGTCATCTTTCTGAAACATTTCAGTTTAGACATAATGAAAAAAGATAGTAGTGTTTTGGAAATGTTTATCATATACTGGTAGTCAAGCTTGCCTAACACAACTATCATCATACTATTATTCACATTTGAGCTGTAACGGGGACATAAACCTGTTTGTAGGAGACGACATCAAGCCATGCCCTCGTTGTGCCGCTTACATCATCAAGATGAACGATGGCAGCTGTAACCACATGACATGTGCGGTCTGCGGCTGTGAGTTCTGCTGGCTCTGTATGAAGGAGATCTCTGACCTGCACTACCTCAGGTACAACCTGACACAACCCAATATGGTAACGGGGATTGACCTCACGGAACGAGCTTGATAATAACACACAGTACATAGAACTCCAGTCATGAACACTGCTTGTGTCCATGTCTGTGGGAGCCCATGGTATCAATCCGATCAATCATTTTTGTCAATAGACATGCACCATTTCTACTAAACAAGGCAATAAGGATAATGTACATGTCTATATTCATAACATTTGGGGCTGTAAATTGATCTGTTCTGCGTTGCTTGTTCCTCAGTCCTTCAGGTTGCACGTTTTGGGGAAAGAAGCCGTGGAGCAGGAAGAAAAAGATCTTATGGCAGCTCGGGACTCTCGTGGGAGCTCCGGTCGGGATCGCGCTGATCGCTGGCATCGCCATCCCGGCCATGATCATTGGCATTCCAGTTTATGTAGGGAGAAAGGTGAGTGAGCAGACACAATTTTACTATAAAAATGTATCATGTTTACAAAAGTGTGGCATTTATTTATGTCTGTGAGCCCCATGTCATTGGGCAAGGCAGTGTTCACTCATGACACAAAGTCTTAATCTGACAAGGGAATATGAATTCACCACATTCATCCCAGTCACCTCCGCTCAGTGAGTGCAGGCTGGTTCATGCTGTGGCAACACTTCATCCTTGAGAAGAATAGAAAGTAGAAATCTGATCTGAGAAAACACTGAGTTTTAAAATTCGACACAAGAACTCTTGCCAGTTTATTCTTTCTTCAGATCCATAATCGCTACGAGGGGAGGGACATCTCCAAACACAAGAGGAACCTGGTCATAGCCGGAGGTGTGACTCTGTCTGTCATCGTGTCGCCTGTGGTCGCTGCAGTCACCGTCGGTAAGAAACCACATTTAAACCTCTTTTTGACCATTTATCAAGTCCTTTGTTTCTCCTGTGCCTGATTTATGATGAGCTGGTGTATGTTCTACTTTCAGGCATCGGAGTCCCCATCATGCTGGCGTACGTCTATGGCGTGGTCCCGATCTCTCTGTGCCGTAGCGGAGGCTGTGGAGTCTCTGCCGGCAACGGGAAAGGGGTCCGCATCGAGTTTGACGATGAAAATGACAACATAGGCAGTGGAGCAGCAGCAGCAGGTGATTATTTATCTTTTTGTTTGGCATAATAATTCTCCTGGAAACTCTCAGCTCTGCGAATGTCTATTTTGTAGCTGATTATAGAAATGATTATTATAATGTTGTTTATTAACTATATACAACTTTGAACAAATGACGTACTCTTAATTGTACAGAAACAAACACAATGATACAATTATATTTTGGTGTGTTATTATAGTCTAACGTTGTATTGCTCTTTCATTTTGAATGTTAGGCAATATTTACAAAATAATAAATCCGGTGCCAGGATGTGTTTATGTCTGACTCCTCTAGAATGTCACAACCCTGTTCAAAACGCCGTGTCAGGAAATTTCCTTCTGTGGTTGTGTAACTGTTTTTGACCCGTGCCCTGACGAATCAACTTTCTGAATAAACTGTCACTCGGTGCGTTTTATGAAATGGACAGAGCAGGCGCCTGTGCTCGGACAGAAGTGTGAGAAGACTTTCTGTCGACTGAATATCTCCTCGGGCTTCAACTCTGTCTGTTTGAACAGCAGCTGAAGCTCTTTGCACAGACACGAGGCGTGAGACGTGGAGAGAGGATGCGACAGTAGTGTCCTGTCCACTTGTCCAACCTGAATTTCAAACCTTAGAAAATATGTTTTGTTTTGCCCGAAACTTGTAGTGTCGTTGAAGTTGTGTAACTACATTTCTTTGATAATGTTCTTATGAGATGTTCTTCATTGCTTCTACTGAACACTGAAGAATAACTGAAACATGCGTGGCTGGTTAAATGAGGCTTAGTAATAGTTCACAAGGGCCATAACCTCAAGTCTAACCATGAAAACCATTTTGATTTATGCTCCAAACAAACCCTGAAGAAACATGACCTTGTTATTAAGTGTGTTTATTTAGAGATACTGTGTAGTTTTCATAAGTGACTCTCTCTCAGACACCACGTCGGTGGCAGAGACGCGGCTGAATAACCCTAGCCTGGGCGACGGGGCGAGTGTGGGCGGTCTTACCGGCCTCAGCCTCAGCGTCAGTGGCAGCCACATGGAGCGCTGTGGTCACCGTGACAACATGAGCGACAATGCCAGCACCACAGCCCTCGCCGGGACCAGCATCACCGGCAGCCTGACAGGCAGCTGCTACAACAGGTACCAGATCCAAATCGTCACACAGTAGAGCTTCTAATGAATGCTAATTGATATTTCATATGGTATTGTCTGGTATGGTATGGTTTTTAAACATTTAGCCAAAAGCAGAGTTGCATTGTATCAGGTTGTAGCTGCTGTGCTAATTTACACCTGTGCATCTTTTTAGAAATTAGTAAGAAATAGAAATCACTGGTATCATTTCGTAAATGTTTGTCTAAACATCCTAATCTAACTTTAGGATGGAGGTTCAGGCTGACGTCCAGAAGGAGCGTTGCAGTCTGAGCGGAGAGTCTGCCACAGTGAGTCTGGGGACGATCAGTGACAACGCCAGCACCAGAGCCATGGCTGGCTCCATCCTTAACGCTTACATGTCTCTGGAGAGGTGGGTGGAGTTGCTTTATCATTACATCATCACTGCTGTGTTTGAGCCATGTGTGATGAGCACCTGTGTGGTTTGTGGATGTTTCAGGGAGAGCAGTGTGGAGGCGCAGGCTGAGGACTGTAAACAGAAGGAGCGTCGAGGCAGTGGCTGCAGCAGCCTGGACGAGGCCAGCTGTAGCTCCGCCGCTGTGAAAGGGGCGAGGGGAGGGGTCTGTTCCTGCCCCAGTGACTGCTGCTGCCCCTCCCCGCCTTGGTCCAAGGAGCCCCCCACCTCAGCCAGACCCCATGGCAAAGGCATAATGTGGAAACGAGCCAACAGCAAAGATTCAAAGTGTGAGGGGCGCTCTGAGCTGGACGCTCAGCTGCTAGAGCAGCGCAGCACAAACTCCTCTGAGTTCGACTCTCCGTCTCTGAGCGGCAGCCTGCCGTCTGTGGCCGACTCTCACTGCAGCCGCTTCTCCTCTGAGCTGAGCTGCTGTGAGCCTCTGCCCTCACACTCTCCACACAGACTGATGTCTGCTTCACCTCCAGCCTCACCCACAGAGGGCGCCACCTTCGTGTACGCAGAGGACGTAGGTGACGGAGGCGAGGAGCAGGAAAGAAGTGGAACCAGTGACTCACCTCTGACCCCGTCCCGGAAGCACTGTATTCAAACAGACATCTGACAAAGATAAAGCTAAAGCTGCAATCATGTCTCAGTGTTTTCTCATCTACATTATTGCACCGACCACAAATACAACAGAAGCATATTTACATTTACATATTTTTACTGATGTAAAGATGGTTTCTCAATATTTTCCACAATTTCTGTCTGTCACTTACACTTATGACTTTAAATGTCAAAAACATCAAAACAAATGCTATTATTACTGTGACAGTGAGTCTTGAATGTGATGCAGAGGCTTCAGTGGAGCTGGAGAATAGAAAGTTCAAGTGACGTTTGTTTTACAGAAGAAAGATCTAAAGGCTTTGAGAAGGTCGAGCTGAATGTGCCGCAGGTGTGAAGCTTTGTTAATGTTGTGAACACATGAATGAGTTCTGATACTGAACCATAACCCTTTTACCACAACATGAGGATCCATTTTTAATCAAAGTAAAAGGGGACCATATGCAGCACGCTAATTATTCTTAATCACTGTTGCTTTTGATGCATGTTTATTTTGTTTTTCCATTTTTGGAAAGTTATTTTTTTATGTTTATGCCCTGTTTTGGGTCCAAAGTTTTATTGGGTGGGACTTTATCAAAAGTTGACCCAGCTCTTCTTTTAGTCAATGGAAAAAGCTGCACTAGAGAAAGTGGTTTTATCTGCACTTTAAAATGGGGGGAGGAACAACACTGCAAAAATAATGGGATTTATTATTTTCGACAGCATTCCTGAGTTCTTAGGGGAATCCAACACTATTCACGATTTCAAATGGGATTTCTAAGCTTTTGACTTATGTCCAATATTTTACCTTAACTGCAATTGAAAATGTACGCTTCATCAATCAAGGGAATCTTTACAAGAAAAAACTGCAATCTTAAATCGGTCACTAAATATCTTGTATTCAGTCAGTGTAACTATTTTTATGAAAATCCTTAACAAAATCGAGGCTTAAGGTGTATTTCATTGTTCTTTTGTTATATTTTATTGATACAGATCATTTTATATTGACTCGGTGCCTTTCATGATGTGTCTTGGATGGAAATGTTATCAAATGTAAAATATGTAAAGAAATCAGTCTATTTTCCCACATTGCGAATGAAGCTGCTGCTGCTGTAGCCGGTTTAGACCAAAGATTGCCCTTAATGTAAATCAGATGAGGAGAAACTAAGACAGTTCTTTGGGTCTTTGTGAATAAAAGATCATACTAACAATGCTTCCCCGAAAGTAGCCAAAGTGTAACTGAAATCTATTTTGAGTCTACAATAAAATCCTTTTTTTATCCTAAGAATTGTGTTTGAGTGGTCTGTGTACGACGTGCTCGTCTTAAGATCTGTACAGGCTGCTGTGCTGATTTGGGAAGAGATAGTAGTGTTACTGAAAGGTCAATTTTGTCTGGAGTTAAAATTCTTTTTGTGGTTCTTTTTGAAAGACTTAGTCTTTCAAAAAGAACCAAACTTTAAGTTAAATCAGGGGTCTCCAACTTGTAGCTCGGCACCTCCTTCTGGGTAGCTGAATGAAAAAAATCAAATATACTGAACATTTCAACATGTATTATTCATTATTGTATATGCACTTATTTTGTGCACTAGTAACAAATATGTGATAACGACTACCCAATATCAGACTCGTTCACACCAACATATCACAACTTGTTTCCCAGGTGTGCTTAAAACAGTAGCTCTTCTTTACATTTATTGTCCACGGAAATCTGGGTGAAAAAGGTTGGAGACACCGGCGTTAGATATTTCCTTGTTAAGATGTATTACATGTTAAGGAAATACATCTAACTTGTCTTTAAAAGAACCACAAAAAGCAAGTGAAAGTATTTCCAAACAGTTGTCTTCATTACTTGGTCTGGTTTGTTCATTTATAAAACTAAAATGTACCGTCCTGTCTCCAGGTTGTACTGCACATGGCCTGCATTTATCTCTCGGCTCAGGTTGAGGTAAAGCTAAAAAAGCACTTGGATTGGGACATAGTGGCAATTATTGAATATATTCATAATTGACAGTATCAATGGTCTCCTGTATGGGATGGTTTTGGGATGGAATTAACTATTAGAATTCTGATTTGAACCTTTGAGACAAACAAAGGCATTTAATTCAATAGTAAAAGCATTTTTCTCTCATGCATTCTGTTGAGACTGTTTTTACCATCAGCAGCAATATCTAAATGGCACTTTTTAAATTGTTTGAATACTTTATTTACATGTGCATTCAAGCTATTTACATACAGTACATGCTTTTGGATCAAAGTTTGCAGCACATTAGAAGCAGGAGAGCATCTGATCACTGAGGTCTATACATTCAGAAACAAAGTGGCACATCTGCTTAAAGCTGGGGTACCCAACTTTCAACCCACAAAACGTAGAACTAGTTTCTTACTAGTTTTCACATGGATGTATTTGTCCTGTGTCACCTGCTAAGATCAGCTTTAGACAGAAATGTGAGAGGAGACCACAATCGCCCAGATGAAACGTTTTCTAAGAGGAGGTAGAATGTCCGTGGTCTGATTTGTTCACATTTTACTACTACTTCTGTTGGGACAAACCAAATGGAGAAAGGTAGGTACCCCCTCTTTAATATACACAAAATAATATGGATTAGAATATATTTTAATGTTTAAATATTAGAACAAAACAGTGATTTGAGAGATGCACTTACAATATAGGACTTAAATAAAATACTGAACTTAGAACCTTATAATCTTGACTTGCTGCTGTAAACTCTCATTGTACAGTACACACTATTTTTTCATATTTACCACAAACATTACAACATTCAGTGTGCCAACTGCCGACGCAAACTCAAGTGAGGAGTTTGAAAGTGTGTTTAAGGCTTTTTCTGTTCATTTCAAAAGTCTAAATTTGTGTGAATCGGTAGCTTCAGTGATGGAGGGTGGATCTGCTCATGTGATCACAGGCCTCAGGTTAGTTTAGCTCCAAGGAAAAGTTAAAATACAATGAAATAACTTTACAATAAATAACTTAAATACTGTGACACCTGAGACAAACCGCGTTACCAAAAGCTTAGCAACTTTGCTCCCTCAAAGATCTGGGATAGTGTCGCTGACTCGGCAAAGGCAATTGCAACATCCATGCATTGTTTTCGATTGTAAATAAAAAATGCTACAGTTTTGTCCAACAGAAATCTGAGTGAGCGGCGATCAAAGTTAATTCGAATGATGGATATGTGTCACCAGTCGTGACTCGTGAGCACAGGGAAGACAGGACCAGAGACAGATTTTCATACAGGGCTGGACAATATGACATTAAAAATAACCAGTCAATTTAATGCTATTTTGATGAAAGTTTCAACATGTTTTTTTGCCATTTTGATTCAGCCATAGAAATCAGGAACTGTTTTCCAGGAGCTGATGCCCCACTGCCTCCTAACAGCATGATACAGAGACTCGATGTGGCCCATGCATTTCTACCTTTTTATGCAGCAGGAAGACAATGTGAAAAATCAAAACTTCATAAAAAAATAACATTATACTGTAAAAATAAAAAGCTTAATGATTGTACCTGGCTTTAATTTAAGCTACAATAAGTTGAATGCAGCTGATGGTGTCTGTGCAACACCATCAGCACAGTTCAAGATCTCGCAGTAATAGAAATCTCATTATTAAGGCACAGTCTTCTGCTTTCGTCTCCAAGTAGCAGCACTCGAACGCCCCACCATCACAGCCGTTTAAGGTGGGAGATGAATGGGTTTTGGTGCCAGTGCGGAGCAGGTGGAGCAGAGCTGGAGATGAGAGAGTCATCTGTTTCGTCTCAGTGTATTTTATCAATTCCTCAAAACGGTCAAACCTGAGGGGAGACAAACATATCGGTTAATAAACAGGAAATAGGAACCAAGTCCATGTTTGCAACACTTTGGTCTCAAGTCTAAAGGCTATTCTGAAGACAGGCGAGTCCCATGACCCACATGTTTGTTTAGAGATGGGAGAGAATGAACTTTCCACAGTAAACACAAACACTTCTTGTGCCCTTTTCAATGAAGCAGAAATCCAAGCAATTACCCACAGTGAAAATCTCTATAGTACAAAAAACACACTGTATAATGGAAGATTTCAGAGATTATTCATTTTGGTTTATATTTATGATTGTTATTTATTTTATTCAGCACCAAGTAAAGAGGTAACAGTTAATAAAACAAGAAAGCAAAAGTAAATACATTTTATCCCTCTACCTCCCGCATACCACCCTCCGACTTATCCTGCTGCAGGTTTTACCCAATACATGTTTTGTGTCATTGTGTGTTTTGAAATACTTCCTCTCACCGTGTCGTCCATGAGACTTTTTCTGAAGAGCGCAGTGACCGTCTCCAGCTCCTGTTCGGCCTCTTGCACTTTGGGGTCGAGCTGCAGCACTTCCTGCAGGTCTGTGCTGGCCGACAGATAGTCCTGAGGGCAGAGCGTGTGGTTAAACTCTGGATATTATGACCGCCGACTGCATCATGTCTTGGATAATCTTTGATGATGACACTCCTCACCTTCAGGCCTTTGTGAGCCAGAGCTCGTCTGTAGAAGGCTTTCTTATTGGACGGCTCCAGCCTCAGCGCACAGTCACAGTCCTGTTTGGCCTCTTCGAAACGGTTCAGTTTAAGGAAACAAATGGCTCTGGAACAAAAGGTCAACTTATATAAACTGCCCCTCTGTTGATTGGGAATTAAACCCAAGACGGGCTCTAGGTTATGATTTAAAGCAGTGGTCTCCAACCTTTTCCCTGCTACTTTTTTCTGGACAACACTTGCAAAGAGCTACTTCTTTTGAGATGTTGTATTGTGTAGTTATATGTATAAAACAATCTATCATTTAAAAAAAATCTCATGAAATCATCATGAGGGGAGCTACTTATGGTGAACTAACGGTAGCGCCCGAGCTATAGGTTGGAGGCCCATGATTCCGAGTATTCAAACAAAAGAGAACCAGTGAATTGCATATTTGATCATAATACTAATTATAATTGTAACTCCCTATTCATACAGTCCATGGTTGAACTGAAGCAAGCTTGGTCCAAAACAATACAAATGTGCTTACTGGTTTCATTTACAGTAGGGATATAGCGCCCTCTACTGTTTCCTAGCGATAAAATGGTCATTCAGGCAACACATCTTAATGTTTCCCATGCATGAAAACATCAAAAAAGTGATGAAATACTATGGTGGCTTTAATTTCAAGCCTCCACTGAATTCAGGTTGAAATTCGTTGATTATTTTTGTGAACACAGAAAACGTAAGAAAAATAAACAACATGGCATTAAGATGTTTGAATTAACCAACGATTATTGTAATTGTATTTTAATATCTCAGCATTTAAAAGTGTCCACTCTTATTGGAATAAAAACTTAGAGTAACAGCAAACACAAAAGAAAACAGCTAATAATACATCAACACATGCTTCCGTACAAACCCACAAACTGAGGTACAACTTACACCAACATCCTCTTCAGACAGTAATGACCAGTTTCTACCCGTAACACCATGGTCTTTCTCTCCGGCTTCAGTCGTAGTGACGTGTGATAACATACCTGTTTGTGTATACGGAACACTCGCTCGGCTGGAGACTCAGACACTGCGTATATTTCTCTGCCGCTTCCTGGAAACTGCCCTTCTTCGTCAGCTCGTTGCCTTCTTGCTTCAGTAAAGTGAATTTTGCTTCTCGTAATCGTGCTGTCGAAAGGTCAGAAGAAAAGTCATTTAGTAGTGCAAAGATATTCTCTTGACACAACGGATGAAAAACAGTTAGTTCAACGGACGACAGCAGATATGTAGTTATGTGTGAGCTCTGAAGACGACCAGGCATTTTCCCATCAAGCAACGGTCCAGGGCGATCAATAAGCTGTGGGAGTGAATGGCAGATGAGACCCGTTTGTCTGTCGTTGGCTAAAAAGCTGCTGAGAAAGGATCTGAGAGGCCTTGTTTAGGAAGTAATGTTTGGTGAATAAAGTAAATGAGTGAGTAATCTTCTTATACAGCGCATTTTACAGACCAAGGTCACCCAAAGCACTTTACAATGTTTAGAGTTAAGATATTGTTCCATTCCCTCCACACGGTGATGACGGAAGCGAGACGCCGAACACTGGTCCATCAAAGCCTGTGACCAAACACCATCCATTCACTCAGACATTACATTCAGACCTATTCTGCATGTTTTTAGTGGTAGGGAGAACATGCAAACTCCTCTCAGACTGGCCTTGTTTCAACCGGGATTTGAAGCCAGGACCTATGCTGTGCTTTACACTCCACCACCGTGTCGCCTAGGCAAGGCAAGGCAAGTTTATTTGTATAGCACAATTCATACACAAGGCAACTCAAAGTGCTGAACAAGATAGCATTAAAATCATAAATAATCACAGAACATTAAAAAGAAAGATAAAAATATAAAATCCCTCAGTTGTATGCACAGCTAAACAGCACAGTTTTTAACTTGGTTTTAAACATAGTCAGAGAGGAGGCCTGTCTCACATCCTCAGGAAGAATGTTCCAGATTTTAGCGGCATGAATCTGAAAAGCAGCCTCCCCATGTTTAGTTCTGACTCTGGGCACTAACAGGAGTCCAGTCCCTGTGCTCCTCAGAGTCCGGGCTGGTTCATATGGGACTAACATGTCACTAATATATTTTGGTGCGAGGCCATGGAGAGACTTGTACACAAGCAAAGCTGTTTTAAAGTCTATTCTCTGAGCCACAGGAAGCCAGTGCAGAGACCTGAGGACCGGACTAATATGGTCGTACTTCCTGGTTCTAGTCAGGACTCGAGCTGCTGCATTTTGAATGTACTGCAGCTGTTTTACAGCCTGTTTGGACAGACCTGTGAGCAGGCCATTGCAGTAGTCTAACCTACTGGAGACAAATGCATGGATAAGAATCTCCAAGTCTGCTTTAGACACTATGTTTTTGATCCTGGCAATGTTTTTTAGATGGTAAAAAGCTGCTGATGTTACTGATTTGATGTGGCTATTAAAATTTAAGTCTGAGTCCAGTATTACCCCTAGATTTCTGACCTTGTTTGAAGGTTTTAGGGAGAGAGACTGTAGATGACAGATGACGCTCTCTCTTTGTTTCTGGGGACCAAAGACAATCATTTCAGTTTTGTCTGCGTTTAGCTGAAGGAAGTTGTTTTGCATCCACTCACTGATCTGTTGGATACAGTGAAGGAGTGAGTCCACTGGTCCATGTTCTCCTGCAGTCAGTGAGACATAGATCTGAGTGTCGTCTGCATAGTTATGATAGGAAACTTCGTTTCTGCGTATTAACTGACCTAACGGCAGCATGTAGAGATTGAAAAGAAGAGGTCCCAGGATCGACCCCTGTGGTACTCCACAGGTCACGGCCATATGATCTGAGACACAGTTTCCAATCTCCACAAAGTACTTCCTGTCTTCAAGGTAAGACCTAAACCAACTTAGGGCGGTGCCAGCGACGCCAACCCAGTCCTCTAGTCTCTGTAAGAGGATCTCATGGTCGACAGTGTCAAAGGCAGCACTCAGATCTAACAGGATTAGGATTGAGACTTTGCCTGCGTCAGTGTTCAGCCGGATATCGTTTGTAACCTTGACGAGAGCAGTCTCAGTGCTGTGGTGGGGTCTAAAGCCGGACTGAAACATATCAAATGAGTTGTTGATTATAAGAAATCTATTTAGCTGTTGGTAGACAACTTTTTCAAGGACTTTCCCCATAAATGGCAGATTTGAGATGGGACGGTAGTTGCTAAGTACCGTAGCATCCAGACTGCTCTTTTTTAGCAGGGGCTTGATGACTGCAGTTTTCAGGGCCTTTGGGAATATTCCAGAATGAAGGGACATGTTTACTATCTGTGTGAGTGAAGGTAACAGACTGCTCAGAACAGACTTCAGAAATCTAGTGGGTAGTACATCCAGGCTACATGTGGAGGAGCTCAAACTGGAGATTATCTCTTGGACAGTTTGATCATTTACAGGTGCAAAGTAAGTTAGCTCAAAGAGCCTTTTAGGCTGTTGGATGGTTATCTGTGGATTGGAGACAATGGCGTTTTTGATGCCTTGAACCTTGTCATTGAAAAAATGTGCAAACTCATTACATTTACGTTTGGAAGTTAGCTCTAATGGCATCTGAACAGGGGGGTTTGTTAATCTATTAACTGTTGAAAACAGAACACGCAGATTGTTGCTGCAGCCTTCAATCATTTCAGAAAAATACCTTTCTCTCGTACTACGTAGCACCCGGTTAAACTCGCACAACTTATCTTTGAAGATCTCGAAATCAACCTGGAGGTTGGACTTGCGCCACTTCCGCTCGGCCCTCCGGCACTCTCTCTTTTGTGCCCTGACCGAGTCTGCTTTAGCCCACGGCGCCTTCTGCTTATTTTTCACTGTTTTAACCTTCACAGGAGCGATGGTGTCCAGAACATTCAAAACACTAGAGGTGACAGAGTTAAACAGTTCATCTACAGTAGAATACGATGCATTCTCAAAGTTTATCATTCCCATAAATAGTTCACCCGTATTTTCAAAGTCACTCACTGAGCCAAGCAAATATTTGAACTTATTTTGATCAACGGCAACAAAAAGAAAGGACCCAGAACTTCTGATAGAAAGAAATCTAAAAACCAAAAAAATACTGCGGAGAAATTGTCAAAGGATCAAGGCCGAGCGGAAGTGGCGAAAGTCAAATCTCAAAGTTGACCATGAGATCTTCAAAGATGCGTTGTGCAATTTTAACAGGGAACTACGTAGAACGAGGGAAATGTACTTTTCTGAAACTATTGAAGGCTGTAGCAACAATCTACGTGTTCTGTTTTCAACAGTAAATAGATTGACGAATCCCCCTGTTAAGATGCCATCAGAACTTACTTCCAAATCTAAATGTAATGAGTTTGCTCAGTTCTTTTAATGACAAAGTCCAAGGTATCAAAAACGCCATCACCTCCACGATAGAAATAATAATCCAACCGCCAGTGAGGCTTTTTGGGCTGACGCACTTTACACCAGTACAAATTGAAACTGTCCAGGAGATAATCACTAGTCTGAGTTCCTCCACATGCAGCCTGGATGTATTACCTCCTAGATTTCTCAAGTCAGTTCTGAGCAGTCTTTTACCTTCACTTACACAAATAGTTAATATGTCTCTTGAATCTGGAACATTCCCAATGGCCTTGAAAACGGCGGTCATCAGGCCCCTCCTAAAAAAGAGGAGTCTGGAAGCCCTGGCACTCAAAAATTATCGGCCCATTTCAAATCTGCCTTTCATGGGAAAAATTCTAGAAAAAGTTGCCTATAAACAACTTACAGAATTTTTAATAATCAATAACGCTTATGATATGTTCCAGTCAGGGTTTAGACCCCACCACAGCACTGAGACCGCGCTAATAAAGGTAACAAATGACATCAAACTAAACACTGACGCAGGAAAAGTCTCAGTCCTTTTTCTGTTAGATTTAAGTGCTGCTTTTGACACTATTGATCATGGCATCCTCATTCAGAGACTTGAGGACTGGGTTGGTGTTGCTGGCACCGCCCTAAGCTGGTTTAGGTCCTATTTACAAGACAGAAAGTTTTTTGTGGAGATCGAAAACTGTACCTCAGACCACTTGGCCCTGGCCTGCGGAGTGCCACAGGGGTCAATCCTGGGTCCTCTTCTGTTTAATATTTACATGTTGCCTCTAGGTCAGTTGATTCACAGTAATAATGTCTCTTATCACAATTACGCTGACGATACTCAGGTCTATGTGTCCCTGACAGCAGGAGAGCATGAACCAGTGGACTCGCTCCTTCACTGTGTCCAGCAAATCGGTGATTGGATGCAAAATAACTTTCTCCAACTAAACACCGACAAAACTGAAATAATTGTTTTCGGACCCCAGAAACAAAGAGAGAGCGTTATTTGTCACCTCCAGGCTCTCTCTCTACAACCCTCAAATCAGGTCAGAAATCTAGGAGTGATAATGGACTCAGACTTAAATTTCAAAAGCCACATAAAATCTGTAACATCAGCAGCTTATTACCACCTAAAAAACATTGCTAAAATTAAAAACATAGTGTCTAAGGCAGACTTGGAGACTCTTATACACGCTTTTGTCTCCAGTCGGTTAGACTATTGCAATGGCCTGCTCACAGGTCTGTCCAAACAGGCTGTAAAACAGCTGCAGTACATTCAACATGCAGCAGCTCGAGTCCTGACCAGAACTAGGAAGTACGACCACATTAGTCCAGTTCTCAGGTCTCTGCACTGGCTTCCTGTTCCTCAGAGAATAGACTTCAAAGCAGCTTTACTTGTGTACAAGTCTCTCCATGGTCTCGCGCCAAGGTACATCCATGACATGTTTGTGCCATATGAACCGACCCGGACTCTGAGGAGCACAGGGACTGGACTCCTGTTAGTGCCCAGAGTCGGTACTAGACATGGGCAAACTGCATTTCAGATTCATGCGGCTAGAGTCTGGGACAGTCTTCCTGAGAATGTGAGACAGGCGTCTACTCTGGCATCTTTTAAATCTAGGCTCAAAACAATTCTGTTTAGCTGCGCATATACAACTGAATGATTTTATCTTTTCATCTTTGTTTTTATCTTTAATCTTTTTAATGCACTGTGACTATTTATGATTTTAGTCCCATCTGTGATTTTAATGTTTAAAGGTTTTTAATTTTTGTGATTTTATTTTTAATGTTTTTAATATATCTTGTGCTCTTAATGTGTTTGATTTATGCATGATGTGATAGGGGATGTGAAGCGCTTTGCGTTGCCTTGTGTAGGAAAGGCGCTCTACAAATAAACGTTGATTGATGATTGATTGAAGTGAAAATATTGGGTTTATTTTCCACATTGTTACATTGATTACAACTAAAGATTAGAGATAATTGTTGTCTGGACATTAGTAATAAAATATAGTAAATCAATAAATAATATATGTTTTATTATGTTTGTTTCAGCACTAATAACTATTTTATAATTGATAGAATGTAAACGTATAAATGAGTGCAGTGTGAGGCTCCAGTCAGTGGGAAACCTGATCAGGATTTTTCCATTACAGCAGAGGATCCACTTCCTCTGTATTTTTAATGACGTCCATCGACGAAGCAGCGCTCTCCAGTTTTACACCGATGTGTCGCTGACTAATGACTTCGATGTGTGAGAATTTAAGACTCATATGTGAAAGTTCAAGTGTGCATATCCATGTTTGTGTCAGCGGCTTCTGAAGAAACATTTTTGAATAGTTCCTGAAACCGTTTTTTAGCATAATAATCTTCTGTGTGGGGTTAGATTGATCATAGACGGCTAATATTAAAAGGTATATAGGAGGATTTTCATACTTCCGGGTGGATCATCGAGACTATTGGTCCTCTTAATTGTCAATCATTCTGGTGATACGTGCTCGACAAATCAGACCAGAGAGTTTTGTTCAAAAAGTGGAGAGGGCAGTTTGTTAATTTTCTTTCTTTTGGCCTTAACACAGGGCCTTTGTAGCCTGTGGGCTGGACATCTTTACATCAGAAAGTCAATTCTTTAAAATGACACTTTCAGTGCTCTTGAGCGGAACATTACACAGCCTCGAGCAAAGAGGAAGTTGAGGCCTAGATCTTTCACACTCGTGTCTTTGTCACATGTTCAGTTTTTGGACACATACATGTGTTTGGCCCCTAGTACAACTCTAGAGAATCTTTCTCACGCACAACAGAGAAGCAGGGTGGATTAGTGACTTGAGATGTTGTTTAGTGAGCTTTAGAAAATGATCCAAAATCACCTATTGGTCAAAATAATGTGAGGAGATAAGATTTGTTATTGTACTTTTTAATGTAATGTGATTATTTATGGTTTAATGCCTTGAGTGATTGTTTCTATCTTGTTTTGTTCAGCACCTTCAGTTGCCATGTTTATTGTGTATTAATTGTGCTATACAGATAAACTTGCCTTGCCTACTGGTCATGATGAGGATGACTTTACAGTGTGGATGAAGGTGTCATGTGTGTTTCAGTTTCAGCTCGTGGCGTCACGGCTCCAAAAGGGAGAGGAACACTGCTGTAGTGACTCGCATGGATGCTCCTGACAACTATTTTCAGGAACCAAACATGGAGCGCACTCTTCCGAATTCATAATATTCAAAGAATGTACTAAATCACAAGAAAACAACTTTCTATTGCTAAAGCTGTTGTTTGTCCCAAAAGAAAGAATGGTGTGAAAATGAAATGTGAACAAATCCGACCACAACATGCTTTATCTGTCATAAGAGAAAACATTTTAGATTTAGCATACTAGAAATATCCTTAAGAGTCACTATTTAACGCTCTGGGCTGAGAGAGGGTGGCACTCTCTGTTTTACTTGTCAGCCTGAAGTAGTTTATCTAAAAAAGGTGAAAAAAGCATGTGAAAACTAAGAACAACGAATGAGATAGATGGATTTGATTAGGTTCTGATATTGGAATGGAATGGAATTGGATATTAAGTTATCATTTTGGTAAATCATATGTGGCTATGTGCTGAATGCTCTGTATTGTAATTCACTTCAGCTTCAGGAAGACACCGGGAGGTCTGGGGAGCTCATATGTTAAGTGTCTTTTGTTGTGTTGGTTTCTTCCTTTCCCATCTGCATACGAAGGTGTGTCTTGTTCTACCAAAAGGGGCTTGCAGACTGTGAATCTTCAGACTTGTCCTGAGAGAGGCTAGGGTCTGTGCCTTGCCTCTGTCAAGACATTCTCCTTGTACAATGTAACAAGTAAAAGATTAATTTTGTCTCTTTGTTGTGTGAGATTTCATCAAGTTCAACTGTAGTTGAAACAGCATTATCAGTTCTATTGTTTTAAAGTCAGGTACCATCTCTTTAAAGTAAACAAGTGGACTTCTCTGAGACGTGAAGAGTGTGGAAGGCGGTCATGGCTCACCTTCCTCGTTTGCGGCGCGTGCGGCTCTGGCCTGGACCTGCTCCTCCGACAACGGCTTCTCCCGGTGCTGCTGCTGCACACACAGAGGCACCACTGGGATCTCAGGAATCTTCTCCCTCCAGTCAGGGCCGTCCTGTTCTATCAGCATCTTTGTGATTCTGCCATAAACAATCCAACAAACAAAATGTGAACCAAACGTAAAGCATTGTGTGAATATAGAAATATCAAAACAATGTAGTAGGTAGTGGGAGTCGTCATGATGGCCTCATTATTGAAAGACCACAAAGTAAACCTGGCAATTGTGAAGTGAAAGAATTTTGTATTGTTGTATTGCTTTAAAATTTTTCAAAAATTTTAAAGTGTGGTTTGAATAAGTGATCATACAGGATTATAAAAGATCGTACAAGATCGTAGAATACTGACAAGCAGAGACCACAGAGCGCTCTGCTGAGAGGGGGATCGGCCTCACCTCCCATCACTGCAGGACCTGTACATGGCCCGAGCTCACGGCCGGGCTGGTCGGATCACTGCTGACCCCTCTCACCTCACTCCTTTCAGGCAGGAGGCTACAGTCCATCCAGACCAGAACCTTTTACTCCTGCACTATTAATGTCTATTGTGTGTACTTAACGTGCTTGTATTTATAATAGTAATTTTAAGAAATATTATTAGGATTTTTATGCAGGCCTTATATCTATTCTTTTTTTTATGTAACTTGTTGGCATCTTGAGCCAAAGCAAATTCCTAGTTTGTGACTTCTTCTTTCTTACAATGGCAATAAAACTGATTCTGATTCTGCATGAGTTCATACTTTGTGGAAGCCCCTTTGTAATAACTCTACAAGATTTCCACATCCAGAGTTTATAACCTAACCATGCAATAAACGTCCCCACAGCTTCCTCCCTGATCTCTCTGGGTGGTTCCTTGGACTTAATGATGCTGTTAAGTGACCTATACACTATAAACATACTTATAGTAAAGTGACACACTAAACTGAGAGTAGATTACACACCAATCATCAGGGCAAGATAAGAACAATCAGCAGTCATTAGGATACTTCTAATGGCTCTTTGCGGAACCGCTTTTTGAGTTTTGGATTTAAATAAAAAACATTTAACTTTCACTTTACTGTGGTTTGTTACTTTGTTGTGATCTTTCCATAAAAAAACTAAATACAGTGCTGCACTGTATTTAGAAAGGGAGTTACTGAGTTACATTATGCAAATGAAAAGTCATTGTTTACCAAAGTTAAAAGGTTCTCAAGGGCTTTGACAGTCGTGTGTATTGTTTGGGTGGAGTGTTCATACAACTTAATATTGTTTTGAGATCAAATGAATCCTTGGCCTGAGAAAAGACGCAATGTTTTATATATTTATTTATATACCTAGCAACAAATAAACTTTACAGATCTGAGTTTAAATTGTATTAAGGACACGTGTTTTATTCATGCACAAAGGCACTAAAAGAGTTGTATTTTTGTTAAATGGGGATCAGGTTTGGGGCCAATAACTCTTTTGTAATTGAATCATATGAATATAATATATACATATCATATTAAATTGAATCAAAAGCACCCTGTACCCAGACATGTACTGTAATGTAGCCCTAGCAAGCTCTATCATAAAACATGGGCTATTTTATAAGGAAAAGGGTTCACATTTATTTCTAAAATCACACATGTCGTAGAACCCTAATAGAGTTGCTTCTGTGTAGTCACATCACTGATATCAGTAGAAATACAGTGTGTAGTTTATTTTCTTCATTAAGTACTGATGTGTGTGGGTGTATTGACCTGTGCACGCTGTCATGCGCAGCCTGCACTCCGGTGTCCAGCTGCAGGACAGTCTTGTAGTCCACGTAGGCTCTTCGGTATCTCTCCAGAGACTCCAGGGCCATGGCTCTGCGCAACAGCGGCTTCAGGGAGAACGGCTGCAGCTCCAGCGCCCTAAGAGGATCAGAGGATCAACTCTTCATACAGGTGGCCCAGGCTCAGTCTTTCCAACACAACATTACATAATTAACTATTCAACCTTCAAGTATTCTTTATTCAATGCAGATTTAATGAAACAGGAAAGCACTGAAATCATGTTGTGTTAATTGGTAAATAACAAATATAAAAGAATAGACATGTCCCTATACTTTAATGTGATCTCAATCTACAATGTCATTATTTGTTCCTTTTCCCACTTCTATGGTTTCCTGAAATATTGTACAATCCTTAACTGTAACATTGAGCTATGTTGCTGACATACAAACTACCTGTGGGGAAAACATAACACCCTGATGAAGATAATTATACGTAATTGTTTGTATCGTTTACTCCTCTATGTATCCACTGTGTTTCTGTGTGGCTTATGATGAGTAACTAATAAATGAGTGATGTTCTGTTTTTCCTCTGGCCCTTTATGAATCCATAACTTCTTACTTGGTACAGTCTTGTATACAGTCTGTGCTGTTTCCATCCTTCAGATAACAGGCTGCTCTGTTGGAATACAGGATACACAGGTCTTCTGCACTGTCGACACCTGAAGAGGAACAAATATATTTGAAAATCGCTATTAAACTAAAACACAAACGAGAATAGAATGCACCGTAAAGACATTGGACACGTACTGTCCTTTCAAGAACATTGTATTAGGTCTGCAAAATGTGCACCTGTCTGTTGAGGGGAAATCTATATATTACACAAAGCCATTAGGTTTCTAAAAGGATCATTCTGATACGAACAAAACACACAGATGGTGTGTCTAATACAATTAACTCCTTCTTTGTCTATTCCAAGTTGATATTCAGGACTAATAACTTATTTGTTCTCATTGAAACATGAGTAAATGCAAGCATACTTCTGGTGCACGGCCTTTATCCCTATTGTTGAAGACAGTGGTGCAGTTAATGTCCAGTGAAAGTAGTCCAAGTGCTCTAAAAAGATTAACATATAATTCAATCTTTGTGACTTTAACAGTAAGTTGTCAAATCACTCACTGCATCTTTAGTCTTTAGTTTTGTCGCTACATATCCAACAAGTGTCATTGAGAAATGCTGACTGACTTTGCACCATCAGGGATTTACATAGACTTTTTTTGTTAATGATTATCATTACTTAAGGTTCATTTAATTTCAGATGCATGCAACATGTCTCACTAGACACTGAACGTTTTCGCAGCACTGTTCTGTGGCGCATCAGAGTCCACTTCATTTGGACCAAATGTCCAAGGGTCAGGTGACCATATACAATAGGTAAAGCATGGACAAACGCTGGGGCAGAGAAATATACTCCAATAGTGCCTTAAATGATAGTTAGTAGATAAAACAAAATAGGGAAAAGAATCATGAAATAAACGTTGAAGTAAAATAGAAAGAAAATATTTAACCCCTACGCATCCAACGTGTAAATGATATTATTATTATATACATAGCGGTGCTAATATATGATCCAGTATTCTAAATACAGCGTACAAATGACAACAACAATATTTCCAGCAATATAAATCCATAATGGAGCATAAGAGAAGATCTGAAAGTCATAACCATCTTGTGAGCAGTGCTTATACCTGCTTCAGCGCAGCCCTCTATGGCTTGTGTGTACTTCTCTATCGCGTCCCCAAACTGCCCGTGTTTGAAGAGGTGGTTTCCCTCATTCTTCATCCGAGCCAAGTGCGGGGGCAGGGCTCCCGCGGGGGCGTCCAGGTGGCTCTTGTCTTCCTCCGGAGGGCTGCTCGGCTCCTCCCGGGTCACAGTGCTGTTGTGCCCGGCGGTCCCGTTGGCCAGTCCCTTCCCGCTGTGGGGGGTTTCCGCATTATTGCCTCGTGCTGCTCTGGCCTGGTTTGGTCCGGTTCTGTGTGCTCCGCTGCCCGGGGGTCTGTCCTGAGTGTTGCCCATCGCTGCAACCCCTGGCCTCAGCCTCAGGGTGTCTGTGTGCGGTCTCTTCGGTCCCTTCCGTCTCTCCGGTCTCAAAGACTAAAGAGCAGCAGCTGTCGCTCCGGTTCTTGTGTCGTATCAGTCTATGGTCGTAAGGGATTTCCGTAAGCCCCGCCCCCAGCACGACGTCACAGCTGAGAAGGGACGCAGTGCTGCGGAGAGGCGCGTGTGCGGGGAAAGCCCTCCTTCACAATAGTGCTTTAGATCGTGTGTACATTACCATTGAGAACATCTATTAAATAAATGACCTTTTTTTAAACACTATAGTCCAACTGAGATTTCAATTTTTGCTTTTCAAGAACCTGCCTATTGAATAATGATAAGTATAACATGTTTACACACTTCCTGTCTTTTTAGCACGTGTAAGATGTGCAAAAAAGATCAATAAAGTTTATCTCATCTTATCTTGTTGTAGTATCATTGTTTAAATCATTGTTTAAAAGTATTATTATATGTAGAGAGAGCTAAAAGCACTAAAACGAAGTTAATGATTAAATATTGAATCAGTTACAATGTATTATGTGTTTCACTCGTTGCAGTAGTACAGCATTAGGGCTATGTGTTTCTCAAACTGTGAAGATGTATGCATGAAAACCTCTGCAGTTCAATTATTTGGTAATTTTATTTAGCGAGTTCTTTTTTGAGTTAAGGCTCAAAGAAGCGTCCATGTCGACCTGTGCAAATATACCTCCAGAAAAGTCAGTATCTGCTGCACAGAAGGGCAAGCATTCTATATGAACCAGCCAATAGTAAAACACTCATTTGATCCACAGTGGTGTGTGGCAACCTTCAGTAAGAACTCAAAAACATAGGATCAATAGCTAAAATAAACTACATTTACACATAAATTACAATCTGTGCATAGTTACAGATTTTATCGAATAATATCAGGATTTTTGCACAATGCTGACTATTAGTAATAAGGTTTATAAAACTCCATTAACAATATTGGCTGTGACTGTTGCTTATGTACAAATGAGAGCACATGGGCCATGATCCTTTTAATTAAATGTATATTTATTGCATAGAAGCGATGTTTTTTTGTCAGAACTTATTGTACAGAATAATTAATAGTTACCTAATGTAACTTAAGTTCTACGAATAGGTGCGTAGTCCCTTAGGACTTCGCTAGTGGGATATCACGTGACCCCCAGGTCACAGACGCCAGAGAGATCAAAATAATTTGCTCCAATCACCAGCCACCTTCCTCTATAAATGCCCCTGCACAAGGCCGCACCCCCTCTTGAACTCTGCCAAGCCGGGCTGGCCTGATGGGCTCGTAGCTAAGGGACTACGCACCTATTCGTAGAACTTAAGTTACATTAGGTAACTATTAATTCTACGTCATGGTGCTACGTCCCTTAGGACTTCGCTAGTGGGACACAACGCGGAGGCCGTAGGAACATGTACTCCCAGCAGGCCAGCGAAGGGTGATTGGAGCTCCGCCCGAGCAAGACCCTCACACCGTGAGAGGACTCAGGGCAGAAGAAACAAAGCGTGTTACCGGGCCACTCCTACCAAGGACGCCCCCACGTAACACCAATCGTAGGTCAACCGTAGTCACAGGACGCCTCTCCCAAGAGCTCCTGATGTAGACTACCAGACCGATCAAACACACATATATGTACCGCACCTGTAGGATGCCTCTCCCAAGAGCTCCTGCACCAGGGCGGAAAAATAGACCGAAGGCCCACTCCTCAGGGGAGGGACCCAACGGTCCAACTCAATCCGCTGCACTCAGCACGGAATGGGCCACCGACCGGTCCGACACATCCGAAAGATAAGACCGGACGAAAGAGGAGGACGACGCCCAAGAAGCCGCACGGCAAACGTCCTCGACCGACGCCCCCCTGAGAAGGGCCGTAGAGGCCGCCATCCCACGCGTGGAATGCGACCTGAAACCCACCGGGGGGGCCAGGCCCTGCGCCTGATACGCCCGTCGCACCGCCGTGGCGACCCAATGCGCCAGCCGCTGAGCCGACAGCGGGGCGCCCCTGTTCTTGGGGCCCAGACACACAAACAGCTGATCACCCGACCTGAATGACGACGTCATGGCCAGGTAATGCCTCAGCATTCTGATAGGACACAGAAGGTGCTGCCGCTCCTCCTCGGGGGAGGCATGCGGCGGCGGGTGGAAAGCCCTAATCCTGATCACTCTCGACCTAAAGGCCGACGTGATGACCTTGGGGAGAAAAGCCGGATTGGGCCACAACTCCACCATGCCGTCGTCCTCTCCAAAGGACAGGCACGACGCATGGACTGAGAGCGCACACAAATCGCCCGCCCTTTTTGCAGACGCCAACGCCAGCAAGAGGGCCGTCTTAAAAGCGATACAATCGGGACTCGCCTCCGCCGCCGGTTCAAAAGGCGAACCCGACAGCCCCCTAAGGACCACCCTGAGGTCCCAAACCGGAGGCGTTCTCTGGAGCGGGGGCCTCCTCCTGCGCGCCCCCCGCAGAAAACGTTTAATCAACGGGTGAGAGCGGGCTGTGGACCCCCCGAACCCGTCGTGACCTGAAGTAATGGCTGCCGCAAACACCGCCAAGGTAGCGACAGCCCTCCCCTTGTCGAAAAGCTCCTGTAGGAATCCCAGGACCCCCTCCAGCGGGCAAAACCTGGGATCCCAGGAACGGGAATCGCACCAGGCACTGAATAGCCTCCACCTCGTGGCGTAGGCCCTCACGGTGGACGGCGCCCTCGCTCCCTGAATTGTCTCCACCACCGCAGGGGGAAGACCCAGATCTACGAGGCTCCGCCTCTCAACCTCCAAAACCCAGAGCCTGCGGCCGATTATCGGACGTGAAAACAGGGCTCCTGCCCCCTGGACTAGAGCCCCCGGCTCGTCCGGGAGGGCCCAGGGCTCCATCACCGCCATGCCCCTCAGGAAGGGGAACCACCGGGCATGCGGGCTGTCCGGAGCCACCAGAATCACCGACCTCCTCTCCTGTTCGATCCTCCGCAGTAGGACCGGCAGGAGACGCACCGGTGGAAAAGCGTACAACAGGCCGCCTGGCCATGGGTAATGAGCCAGAGCGTCCACGCCTAAAGGCGGCTCGTCCGCGGCCCTTAAGGCGAACCAGGACGGGCACTGTGCGTTCTCTGCACTGGCGAAAAGGTCGACTACTGGACGACCGAACCTCCGCCAGATCTCCGCGGCTACCCGTGGGGCCAGGCCCCACTCGTCCTGGAGTGGGCCCCCCCTGGACATCCTGTCGGCTCCCACGTTCCGGACCCCCGGGACGTGGCGCGCCCTGAGAGACAGGAGGTGAAGCGCCGCCCACAGCAGCGTCACCGTCGCCATGCGATGGAGAGCGGGGGACCTGGTGCCCCCCTGCCTGTTCAGATAGGAGACCACTGTGGTGTTGTCTGAGCGCACCATCACGTGTCTCCCCTGCAGCTGAGGGGCAAAGTGCAGCAGTACTCTGTGCACTGCCTCCATCTCCAGCAGGTTGATGTGACGGGCTGAGTCCGACCAGCAGCCTCCTACAGAGCTCTGGCCGAGGACCCCGCCCCATCCTTCGAGCGACGCGTCCGTGAACACCTCGGCGTGAGACACAGCGCAGGCCAGAGTCACTCCGTCCCGCAGTAGACCCGGAGTGAGCCAGAACCTGATGTCCGATGCTGCCCCTTGGGGAACCCAGATCAGCCTCCCCCCGTCCCGGGAGGGGTGAAGCCTGAGGCGCGAGAACCACCTCTGAAAATTTCTCATGTGGAGCAGGCCTAGCCGCACCACAGCATGAGCCGCTGCCATCATCCCCAGCAGGGACCTGAGGCGCCGAGCGGGAACTCTGGGGCCCGCCAGAACCTCCCGGGCCAGACGGGTAATATTCGTCCGTCTGTCCACGGACAATGCAGCACGGAATATCACAGAGTCTAGCTGCAGACCGAGGTAAATCATGCGTTGGGCTGGCTGCAGCTTGCTCTTCTCCCTGTTCACCACAAAGCCCAGACGCTGTATGTGGGACAAGACCCATTGCGTGTGGCTCACGGCCACTTCCCTGGATGGGGCCAGTATTAACCAATCGTCTATATAGGTCAATATTCTTACCCCGGCACGTCTGATCGGCTCCAGAGCCGCTTCCACACATTTGGAAAAGGTGCGAGGCGCGAGAGCGTACCCGAAAGGGAGACGGCAGTACTCGTAATTCCTCTCTCCCACTGCGAAGCGCAGAAATCTCCTGTGTTCTGGCACTATGGGTACGTGGAAGTATGCGTCTGTCAGGTCTATGGATGTCATCCAGTCTCCTTCCCTGACACACTCGAGGAGCTGCCTTGTGGACAGCATCCGAAACTGCCGTTTGGAAATGCACTCGTTTAACACGCGCAGATCCAGAATGGGACGCACCCCGCCTGATTTCTTTGGCACCAGAAAGTAAGGGGAGTACAGCCCCCTGGTGGCGTCCTGCGGGTCTACCTCCACTGCTGCGCCTCGACTCAGCAGGGAGGAGACCTCTGCTTCCAGTGCCTCTGTCGATCCCCGTACCTGAGAGCGTACTGCCCGTACGCCTCGGAATGGTGGTGGCTTTCGGAAAAATTGCAGAGCGTAACCTCTGCGCAGAGTTTTCTCCAGCCAAACATCTGACAGTAAGCCCTGCTCCTTCCAGATGTCGTAGAAATCTGTGAGGGGCGGAACGGGAGCTGGAACACGAGACGTCATGGCCCCGCCCCCTCCTGGTGTTCCTAGCAGGGAGGGGGGGTGGCTGAAAGGGCCGGGGGGGCCCCTGCGTCACACCGTGAGCGCCGAGGGCGGTCACGTGTTCTGCAGGTCCGACGTCATAAGTACGGGACTGCTCACCACACGTGACCCGGCTGCTGCTGCGCCCCCCCCTGGCTCTTGCCTCATGGAGGGGGGGGCGAGCCCCTGCATCGGGAAACCCCGTGTTAGCATTGTAGCTCTGCTCATCACGCGTGACACGGCTGCTGCGCCCCCCCTTGGCTCTTGCCTCATGGAGGGGGGGGAG